AACCTCGCCAGTGCGAGCGCCCCAAACTCAGCTGCCGCTTCGCTAACACCCAGTACGAGATTTTTGCTGACATCGTTGGGACGCCTCGTGCCGACGCACGCAGTGCGGAAACACATTTGCCGGTCGAGTCTACCGCCCTTCCAGGGAGCTGCGCTTGGATTCAGCTGCTTATCGTGTTCTTCTGCTCCGGCGACTCCGCCTTCCACTGCCTCTCGTTGCTGCAGCCTGCCGTTGCGGCGCTCATCTCGCCCCGCTTCGCGATCACAAGGCAGCCCACCTGCGACCCGGACTTTTCCACGGCCGAGGCATTCCTTCGGAACCACTGCTGTTCGGATCTGCTGGAAGCTGGAGCCGGAATCGTTGCAAATGTTGCTCTGCGCGATTTTAGCATCATCACCCGTGAGCACGATGACCGGCGAATTCAGGGGAAGTCTACTGGTCACACCCAACCCTAACCAGCGGGACCCTTAAACCAAGCTCGCCAAAGTGGCACATCATGGCACGTCATTGTGCTGGCAATCGACTGGTTTGCGGCGGATGGTTGAGTCGGTGCTCGGCGAGAACATCGCTCAGGCGGCTTCGCCGGCTGCCCCTTCGCTTGTTGTTTTTTGTTTGCTCAATGTCCTGTTGCTCGGCCCCGGCCGTCCGTTGCATCCCGGTCCGTGCAGCTCTGCGCGCCGACGCTGCTGTGCGGGCACACAGGGCCGCGGGGCCGGAACCCTTTGAGCTGCAGGCTTGCACCAAGCCGCCGCCTTCCCCGCGAAGGGCTGTGGCCCGCTGCCGAAGCAGGACGCAGGCGGACCGGGCCCTGCGCGCATCGTTGTCCGGATCCACACGCAGCTTGCGCGAAGCCAAGCGGGGGAGTGCACCCGGACTGTCCGGCACTCGAGCTGAGCACTACAAACTCCTTCTGGGCCATGCCGATGACCTGGAGCTGCTTACCGAAGCAGCCAATCTGGCACAGGCCGCGGTCCCGCGTGAAGTCGCGGAGGGGATCGCGTTGACCCGCATGACGGTGTCGGCTCGTCTCGCGCTCGCGAGCTGCTGCGCGGGCGCCTGATTTCGATGAGGCTACCAGGCCATACCAGTTCGCGCTTCGCACTCGAGCGGGAGTGGATGCGCTGTCGGCAGGACTCCGCGCGACCCTGGAAAACGACGCTCGAGCCACCGTTGTCTCCCTGGATGGGCGGAGTGCTTACGACTGTATTTCCCGGGCGGCGTTTTTGCGCGAACTATGCGAGGTGGCACCCGCGCTTGTGCCCTTCGTGCGAGTTTTTTTACGGCCAGACGTCGGAATACCAATGGTGGGACGCAGAAGGGGTCCGCCACGGCATACGTCAGGCAGAGGCTTGCGAACAGTGCGACCACCTCGCCCTGATCTCTTCGCCCTTGGCCAGCACGAGGCGTTGCGCCGGGCAGACTCGCAGCTGCAGCAGGGTGAATCGCTCATGGCTTTCCTCGATGACCTGTACGTTCTCCTGCCTCAGCCCCGTCGTGTGCGAGCCGCCTTGGATCTGGTCACGGGAGCGGTCGAGACGCATGCGGGCATATCCGCCAACGTGGGCAAGACGCGTGTCTTCAACTACGAAGGTGGCCCGCCGCCGCCAGGGATCGTGGATCTGCGTCGCGTACACGGCACCCTTTCTTCCGCGAGCACGTGCTGCTGCCTTTTCTGCCACCTCCTTACCGCGCGCTCTTACGTTCCCAGGCCGGTTTGCATGCCGACGCATGGCTGCAAGCCATCCCCAGCGATCCCCACACGTCGCTCACGCCCGAAGCCATGCAGATCGCGTTACGTCGCAGGCTCCGGCTTCCACTCCCGCCAGCGCCAGGCCGTTGCAGGAGCGCCTCGGAACTTGGGTGCGGCCGCCGCGCCGATGCACACGGAGACCACGCACTTGCATGTCCGCGGTCAGGCCTTCTGGCTAGGCGGGCTAAAACTGTTGAACGGGCTTGGTGCAAAGTTGCGCGCGAAGCCGTAGGGCCTGAGGGACACGTGGTGGCCCAACAGTGGCTCGTCAACACTACTGCGCCAGGAATCGCATCCGATGATCGCAGGCGCCTCGACCTGGTCATCTACGGAGCTGCACCCCTGGGCGGAGCTCTGTGCTGCGATGCGACCCTGGTCTCGCCTCTGACGCGCGATGGCGAGCCTGACCCCGGCGCGGCCGCACAAGATGGGGCAGTTCTGCGCACCGCTCTGCGCCGCAAGAATGCCACCTACCCCGAGCTCGCTGCAGGCGGCGCGCAGACCCTGTGCGTGCTCGGTTGCGAAGTCGGTGGACGGCGGAATGCAGACGCAGTGCAGCTGGTCAGGCGCGTCGTTGGTCCGTGCGCACAAAGCCCCACCGGCTGTGCGAGCCCTTGTGACAGCAGCGTGGGAGGAGCATGCTATCCGTGGCCGTCCATCAAGCCGTCGGCCACACAGCGCTCGGGCGTGCTAGGGCCATGCCGGGAGCGGCGCATACCGATGTGCCGGCCCTGGGTGTGGTCATGGACTTGGCCGGGCCGGACGGGCTGAGCCGCATGCCGCTGCGATGAGTCGGCCCTAATAGGGGACCGACTTTTTTTCTGTGCTTTTTGGAGCCGGACACAGCTGCTGGCGGAAAAAGGTGTGCTAAAAAAAGGTCCAGTCCATCCCTTGGTTTGGTTTTAATTTGCGCGCCCCTTCTTCTAGAGCGCTTCCCCCCCGAAGCCTTCCCAGACTTTTGCGCGATGTCGGCGCCGCTGGATTGGGGAGACACGGCTCCCGATGCCTCACCGATTGATGTGCCTTCTTCCTCGTCCTTCCCGGCCACTGGCGTGGCGCGCGGACCGCCAGACAATGGTGAGGTAACACCGGAGATCGCTTCGCCAGCACGGGCTGCGTGCCCGGTTTGCTTGACGGAGCCGCCCCTGAGCCCACAACCTGAAGATGCAACTTTTCCGTGTTGCAATGCCTACACCCACCTTTCCTATCTGGTGAGTTGCGCTCGCTTGCACGGCAGGTGCCCCAACTGCCGTGCTGCGATCCACAACTTGTTGCGCGAACCAACAATCCAAGCCCGCCGTCGGGCTCTCGGCATCGATGTGGATGCAGCGGCTGCGCCTGTGCGCCTTACCACGCATGCCGTCATCCACGAAAACTCTGCGAGAGTTTACCGCCCCGAGCCCGACCGCATCCGCGCAGTGTGTTGCCGCCGCTTGGCCGGTCCTGCCGTAGGATTCGTCGAGCTCTTCGACGCCCGCATGCATTGGGCCCCTATGCCTCGCCGGCACGATCGGGGGATCGCCTCGTGGGAGGCCCAATGGGGAGCATGCGATGTCGAAACGAGCTTCGTGCCGACAGCGTGCGGCTGCGGAGTCAGCCCCGCATTGCCTGCGTCGTCTCACGCTCCTGTCTTGGGAAGTTGACATGCCATCGCAAATTGAGTGCTGGGTGTGTTCGCCCCATCCCTCCATCGGCTACTACGCAACTGCCGAACCGCCAGAGCTCCCCATGCTAGCAAGCACAAACTCTTGCGTGTACGTCTCCGTTCTGCTTGATGCGGCTGGCTTCTTGGAGCAAGCTGCAAGGCAATTTTGGCACACGCATGTCATCATAGGCGATAAGTGGCCGACTGCAGTTACCACCCTCCTCGCTCGCCCGTTCTTGCCTGTGCCCGCACTCGCCGCCGTTGTGGAGCATGTCGGCCTCGGTTTCGGTGCTTCCGCTCTGTGTTGCCCTTCTGTGCACCGGTTTCGTGAATGGGCCGAGCCAAGTCACCACGCTCGCCGAGCCTGTCCGGGCCGTCGCAGCTTCGCAGGAAGGCTACTACCTCGCGGCACCCCTTGCAAGAAGCCTTCATCACGCTACTTCTCGGCGCACCCGCGGTTTCCACGCTGGGTGCCTAACACCGAGCCTCCTCCCGCTGCTAACGCCGTCCTCACTGCTTCCTTGCGTGCTGCACCTTCCCATGCCCCTGACCCGCCTGAACCTGTGCCCAAAGACGTTGCTGTTGCCCCGGCAGCTTGTGTCAGCTACAGTGCGCGTACGGTGCCGACCCTGCTGAGCCTGATGCCGACCTGCAACAGACCCCATGCAGACGGACGCGAATCCCATGTGGAATCATCGGCCCGAGCCGCCGCGGCCACCATGCGCGTAACCGGTCGCGGCCGCCGGGAAGCCGCAGAAGAGGCCGAGCCGCAACGGCGAGCACGCAACAAAAAAACAAAGCGCGAGACGCAAGTGAAAGGTCAGCCGGTCAGCCGCGCTACTATGCGCTACTTGCAGGCGGACCTAGGCGGATTGGAAAGCTTCTTGCCACGGCGGGACCTGGAAACTCCATGCTGCGAAGTGGACATCCCGCTAGGGGAGCTCCCGGCGGCCACCAGCCGCCAGCGCCCAGTCGGCTCTGAGCGCGTTTCGGAGCTGTAGCCAGCACGAGACGGACAGACGCTGGACTTGCTTCTGGTTTAAAACAATAGATTCTCCTTGCTCGCAGTGGGAAAACGATGGAAAACAGTCCCGCGGCCGCAGGCGCCTGGTTTCGGATGAGGGGGAATGTGTCGTCATATACCAACACCCAGTAAGCGGCGCGCCTGCCACGCTTAGGGGCTTAGTGCAAGCTGCTGTAGCGGCACACGGGAATGGGAGTCCCGCACACGGAGCATCCGCAAAGCCGGTAAAAGTGGCAAGGCAGCGGCCAATAGCGGCATCGTGTTCCGCGGCGAAGTGGGAATTATTGCTTGCGGCGAGACAGGCAGGAAGGCACTCGAGGGCAAGTGCAAAACCGGAGGATGAGCCTAGCGGCCTGCAGGTCATCAATCGCAATGATGCGGTTGAGAAAGCGGTCGTCTTTGGCGCGCTTGTGCAAGAAAGTGTCCCCAAAAGTGGCAGTATTGTTTTAATTTGCTGTTCTGTGTGGGGGGGGTGCAATGGCACGCAAAGAAACATGTTCGGTGGCGCTGTTTGCTGTGCCGACGACATGTGTACCCGAGTGAAGCGGCCCCAGTGTCCTGCACCTCCACCTGCAGCGAAGATGGCCAGCAGCTTGTGCACCATCCACGCATACTTCCACGTGTTGGACGAGGCACTCGCTGCACCCATCTTAAAGGATTTCGTCGAGCACACCAAGGCACAGCTCGAACGTTTCGGGATTCTGCAGTTCTGTAGCCAATGGAAGGGTGTTGCCAGGGGCCAGAAGCTGATCTCCAACTTTGCAGTGTGTGCAAAACACACTGATGATAGGTAGGTTCTCAATGTGTTGAAATTTCTGCCATGGGTCCAACAGGATGAAAGCGGCTGCTTGTGGTACGCGTGGGATCGTTCCGGAGACAAGTTGTTCTGCAATGAGGCTTATGAGGACGCCCAGGCGGTGCTGATCCATATGAAAAACCTTGAAAAAGCAGGCACTTTCAAAGACGCTGCCAAGCTCACCCAGATAGAGTTCCATGGTCCTGCTGTTGAACTTGAGAAGCTACGCTCGGCTGCCGAAGCCGTCAATGCTAGGCTTTTCACAGAGGATGGGGGTGCAAGCTTCATGCATCCCCTCACACCAGGTGCAGATGCCGAGCCTGCATCTTTGTGTACTTTGCATGCATACTATGACCTCACGGATGAAGGCAAAGCGGAGCCTGTGCTCGCCGATTTGGCGGCAAGGACGAAATCTGAGAGGGGGTGTGTTTACCATGGGTGGACGAAGGCGGGCGACACGCTGTTCTGCCGCGAGGGTTATTTGGACAGCGATGCGGTGCTGGCGCATCTCAGCAACGTCGCCTCCTGCACAGGCCTGGCGGACTGCACCACTTTACGTCGCTTGGAGCTCCACGGGCCGCCGTCACAGCTTGCCAAGCTGCAGGACATTGCGCAGCAGATGGGCGCGGAGTGTTTTGAGCGACAAGAAGGCTTCCAGCGCGTGGCCCTGGCATCGGCAGTCAAGGCGGAACCGTTGCATGGCCTTCATCTGGATCGGGCCGTCCTCCGCGACTTCTGCTCCATCCATGCTTACTACAAGGTGACCAACGAGGAGGCTGTCGGGAGGCTTCTTGCGAGCTTCGAAACCAGGACAAGGGCCGAGGTAGGCTGCCTTTGGTATGCGTGGGACCGGACAGACGACCGGTTGTTCTGCAACGAAGCCTACGCCAATGCTGAGGCTGTCTTGGCACATGTGCAGCATCTCGAGGGAGTGGGTTCTTTCGGCGGCGCCGCACAGCTCACAGACATTGAGTTCCATGGGCCTGCAGCAGAGCTGGAGAAGGCCATGGGTTCAGGGTTTGAGTTTAAGGCTTCTGGAGACCCTTTCGCCCGTACATTCGGTGAGCACTTCCCCTTTGCTTTATGTGACATTTATGTGGAGGTCATGGGCACGGCGAAGAAGCTTGGTGCCGCTCTCTTTGCCTTGGAGTCGGACGTGACCTTCAAGCCAGTGGATCTTTGCACCGAAGGGCAACAGTCTGACTTGTGCACCATGCATGCCTATTTTACGGTGGAGGATGAGTCGGGCGTTGCTGGTGCACTCGCCGAGCTGGTGGACAAGTCACGAGCGGAAGATTCTTGCATGTACTACGGCTGGACCCGTGCAGGGACAACCCTTTTCTGCCGCGAAGGTTACACAGGTGCAGCCGGCATTCTCGCACACCTCGCGAATGTTTCGGCTTGCGGTGGCCTCACAAACTTTGCCAAGCCACACCGCATCGAGATCCACGGACCGAAAGAAGAGATAGCCAAGCTGCGGCAGACAGCTGACGAAATGGGAGCCACCTGCTACACACGGCAGTCCGGCTTCCAACACTTCCAGGCGAGACCCGCGCTTCTGGGCACCGCGCCGCTGGCTGTTGCTCGCCGGGGCGACGTGGAGCCGTGGAGGCAGCTCTTCAGGGCGCTGGCGGCGCTGAAGTACGTCGGTATCGCAGGGCTCGCCGTGGCCCTCCTAGCCAGGCTAGCGCAGCGGACGCAGCGCAGCGGGCGGAACTTTGCGGCCGCGAGCCTGATGATGCTCCTGGGTCATCTTGCCGAACGAAAGCTCCCTTCCGAAATGTCCTGAAAGGAGAGCCGCTCCGGGCCAGGCATGGCGGGGGCCGGCATGTGATTTGTATAGTGCAAAGCCTGGAGTACGAACATAATCTCCATTTAGCCAATTTACGAGAAAACCTGAAAGGCACGGCACACCGTGACAGTGAGCGTGCCCTTCGTCAACTGGTAGCAGAATAAAGATCAGCTGCCGGTAGTGTCCGCAGTCAGAGCAGTGCGAACAAAGTGAGTGACACAGTAGAGGCCAATTTGCATGAATCTTGAGGAGAGGGTCATGCCATTGCACAACAGAGCCTTCCCCAAAGAGGGAAGAGCTCACAGCAGTTGGCTCGAAGTAACATGCAGCCGCCAACTGAAGCTGATGGATCTGAGCCATGGCGAGGAGCGATCCGAATGGAAACCCGGGCGGCGCTCCAGGAAGTGTTGACTGATATCGGAGTGCCGGTGAAGGGCTCCATCACGCATCCACCCTCCCCAAGTCGCCAGCCGGAAGCGCGGCGGACGCCTTCGGCCCCATCACAGCACGTACGTTTGCCTTTGCCTGGGAACCTTCACCGCGCCGATTCGATTTCGCCATGGGGACGAGCTGCCACTGCTCACCAGTTCACCCGAGGCATCTCGGAAGGAGGTGCCGAAGTCATGCTCAATGACGCAGCCATCGCCGAGGCCCTGCATGAGTGGCACCGCCACCCAAGAAAGCTGCGATCCAGAAGCGCTTCCCCAACGACCAAGAAGTTTCGCAAGTTTGGACAAAGCAGTGGGGGTCGATTTAAGGAATTCAAAGCTCCAAGCATGCCGCGAGAAGATCAGCTTATTCGAACATCCCGCCGCTACATGCAGATGGCGAACCCATTATTAATCAAGGAGTTGACTGCGCCTGCGGCGTCCAGGCTCGCGGCCGTGGTGGAATCACCAGAATTCAGCGGCTTTATCGGTGCCATGATTTTGGCCAACGCAATCTCCATCGGCATGCAGACCCAGCATGAGGCAGAAACATGGAGCCTCGCAATACGGCCTGCTTTTGCCATAAGCCCCTCGGGTGCTGTTTCGCGTGCTTCGTTCTTCGTCTGACTTAGTGAGTAGACTATTCCGAAGAGCCATGAAGCTTTCGACAACCCTCCTCAGGTGAATTGTGCTTCGCGTTGGTATTTGCTGTGGAGCTATCGCTCCGCTTGGCAGTGGCGGGCTGCGAATTCTTCACTGGGCCTGAGCGCAATTGGAATCTTTTCGATACAGCGCTGATCTTGGCACAGGTCGTGGAGCAAATGTTGCCTGCAGAAGTTTAAGAGCATGTTACAGCACGTTGCAGTTGTCGCTTGCTTCTGCCTGCTATGTGCGCAGACATCAATGGCATTTGCCTCGACTGGCCCAGGATCTTTGCAGCAGTCATCTACCAGCATGGCACCTTGAAAGGTCTCAAGTATTCTGACTTGATGCCGGACAGTGTCGTTCTTCGCGCTTTGCGCATCTTCCGGCTGCTCCGTATCCTGTGACTTGTCGCTGACAGCTTCTTGTTGCAGGGTATGCGGAAAACGCAGTCACAGTGCGAAATGAGATTGAAAATGTCTGACGTGTCTCAGGCGCGTGCTGCGAATGATGCATATCAGCAGCGAGTTGCAGGTCCTGCACGTGGCAGTACGTGGTAGTTGTGAATCTGGTTGGCTACTCGAGTTTCCAGGTATGTGTGTGTTGTAGGAGATGGTGCATGTTGGCAGAAAGGTCTGCGAATGTTCGTGTTGTCCACAAGGCCATCCTGACTGCGATTGTCAAGGGGCTGCGCTCTTTCATTTGGACCTTGGCTTTCATGTTCTTGGTGCTCTATGCAGTGGGTGTCTTCCTCACCCAGTGCGTCACTGATTACAAAGTGGCTCGAAAGGCCGATGGTTCTGCATCCGAGAAGCTGCAGGACTACTTCGGTTCGCTCCCCGAGACGATGTTGGCCTTGTTCCAGGCGATTACAGATGGCCAGGAATGGCGAGAGATGCTGGAGCCCCTAATCTGGGAAATCTCGCCTTGGATGGCGGTCCCATTCTGCATGTACATCTCTTTCATGGCCTTCGCCCTTCTGACCCTGCCTTAGGAAAGTGTCAAGGAGTTGAGTTGGCAGTCTTGGGATCCGGTTGGGACGACTCTTGCAATCCATGTTGAGCCTGGAGAACTTTAACCGCCACCTAGGAACATACTGACGGGCATTTTCGTTGACAGCGCGCTGGACAACGCGCAAGAGGAGAAGCGCCGCTACCTCCTACAAGAAGTGGGCCTACTCTTCAGGGAGGCAGAGAAGGACGAGGGGATTGAGAGCTTCGCAACCCAATTGCTGCTATGACGGTGCTGTCTCACCGCTTGCTGCCCCATTGCGGCGTTGCGATCAGGAGCAGATCACCTGGCCGGACTTCCAGGCCCAGTTGCGCAATCCGCACATGCAGCAGCTTTTTGCTGCCCTTGATGTGGATGAGTCTTGTCTGCTTCGCGTAAATGCGTTTCGTGCCTCGCGAGGGTCGTTGCCACTACTGGCACCCCGGTCGCTTCATGCAACAACGACTGAGGAAGAGGATGCTGCGGAACTTTTTCACATGCTCGATGCTTCGCACGATGGCTACATCCAATCCGACGACTTCCTCAACGGTTGCTTGCGCCTTGACGGTCCGGCCAAGGCCATCGACCTGGCAGCCTTCATCGAAGAAAGCCGCAAGGTCAATCGCACGTTCCTGGAGCACGCCCTCTGCTCGGGAATGCAGGAATGTGAATTGCTGCCGTGTCCCGTTGCGCTGTGTAGCCATCTTTGACCTGCATTGGCTCCAAGGCCAGGTTCGTCAGCCAGACTCTCGGCTGGCTGGTGCATGCCACGGAAGCCAACGCTCAGCACCACTCAGCCCTCCAGACGCCGAAGGAACCATCAGGATCACAATGAAACTTATGAATGTGGGCATGCGCCACAAGCTGCCAAGATCCTAAGAAGCAGGTGCAAAACAGGATCCGCCGCATGTTAGCACCATGGGCGGTGACCTCTGATCTGAGTTGCTTGTTGATGCACTCGACTGCCCACATGCTTGGCCCAAGCGGATGAGTCCAGAACCGCGGCATTCCCTGTGGTCGTGTGGTGGCCTTCAGGACTTCCGGAGGCCGTAATGAGTGTGTTGTGCGTGCTTCCTATGCATGCTTGCACTTCTGGCTGGATGTCAGGTTGTCGGTGCTGCCTGTTCTTTCTACTCGTGCTCTGAAGCCGAAGCCGTGTCGGCTCAGCAGGCTAGTTTCGTGGTCAGGCAAACCATCCATAACCCAGCGCCCAGCGCTGTACCAAGGCATCTCTGCTGCAACTCTTGGCATGTCGGTGCTGAAACAGCATGCAAAAGCGGACTCTAGTCTGAACTTCTGGAAGACCTGGTCCCCAACCCTAGGAAGCAGAGGATGCAGTGGAACCTGCGCAGAATTGTCCGTGGCCTAGTCGCCTGTAAACGTAACACTTGCATCTTGGCGCTTGTCGCGTGCGAAATGCCCCCCCTGTGGACCGACGAACAACTTCAGGTCTGCGTGTCGACGCTTTTCACTTATGCGGGATGCACGGTCGCTCGGCAGGGGCAAGCCGGGCAACGCTGACAACAGACAACAATTGATTCTCCTTGCTTGGCAGAGCAGCCCGAGGTGGTCGCTTCCGAAGAATGGAGACACACCTCCGAAATCACCCGCTCCCAGCACAGCGAAACGCAGGCAGCTCGGCAGGAGCAAGTTAGCCAGGCTTTAAAGAGGAAGTCGATGGCTCTTGATTTGCTGGGGTTGTCTGAAGACCAGCCACGGGTCGGACTGCAGCACTAGGAGAGATGCGGAAAAGATTCTAAGATCCTCAGGCTTTATAGAAGGAAGAACGAGGGAGTATGGAGATGTTTACTGGCAGAGCGATTGCAGTGGCAAGGGCAACGGAAGCCAGGATTCAGTCACGATTGAGTCGGCCTATGCGGATTGAGGCTTCTAGCCATGCTATTCCAGAGGAAGGCAAAGTACACAAGCCGACGATAATTTTTCTCACAGGCGGAGCAGGACACGTGACAGCCTGCGGCGTGCCGAGGATGTTGCGGCCAATAGCAGTCGAACACATGTCGCCATCTCTGCGGGTGGCCAGCCTTCGGTGATGAGAAGAGAGGCGGCTGGTTTGCACGGGTTTCCACATGACATCTGGGCCTTATGTTGCATTGAGTGCGTGCGCATGTTCGGCCTTACTCTTAATGGAGCAACCCCAGGCTCCAAAGCACGAGCAAAGGGAGGGCAAGACAGAGCACCAGAAGACCCTGGAGCGTGCCTTGGAGAGGCACGGCGACGGCGTGTGAAATCTAAAGAATCACACCATGCACGGGTCCGGGGCGATGACATATCATGGTCCGCCCATTGCCCATGCACGTCATTGCTGTTTTGGCATCCGCAGGGCTTCCGAGATCGCGAGGGAGGCTGGCCCGGAAGATGCAGCTTACAGGGCAGCTCACCGAAACACCTAGGGCATAGGAACTTCGGGCAGGGCTTTTAGCTTAAAGCAGCAGTTGTGGATGTGAGCCGAAAGAGCTGGCTTTAAAATGCACGTGCACCACACGCGTGCTGATGTGGTTTTCAAGCCTACTGTGCCGCACTTAACATGGCTAGCGCATTAGAAGCACAGTCCAAGCTCCGGACAAAGTAAGCTCAATTAAAGTTTGAACAAGTCAATTGCTTCAGAAAGTAAAGTTGAAGATTGCTGCCGTTTACATATCGCATATCACATACACACTGATTCACCGCTTACGTTAGCCGCCTTGCATTCGCAGGAGCGCAAGCAGAGCGCAGCTTACAACATCGAATCGATAAAACGGAATGCACATCCGGCACCGCAATACTGCGTGTCTTGCTGCTCTGTCGTCTCATCGACTTCTTTCAATTTGGCCAGGCTTCTTTCGCGTTGTTTTGTTCGATAGTTCTGGCTCTGTCTAGAACGATCGTCTCATGAAGTTTGTTTTGTCTTCTTGACTGATTGACCTCACAACGATATGGCGGTGGCCGAGTGCGTCAAGAGTGACAAGTTCCAACAGAATCGTGCCCAATTTCGTTGTGATTTTTGTGTTCGCTTTGTTCGACCCCGTCTCAACCGGCCCAAACATGTCATGTATTGTAGCGCTCGCCGAACCACGAGAAATTTTTGGCAGCGACAGAACGAGTTTCTGCTTTGGGGTTGGTTGGTTGGGGCTTTGGGTATTTGTGGAAGGTGGTTTGTTGATCTTTACCTCTCTCTGTGCTTAGATTTGTTTCGGCACGTGACGTCCGAGGAGAGTCTTCTCAAGGAAGCGCTCAAACTTGTGGAGCAAGGTGAGGAGAAACCGCCCCATGGATGCATCCATCTGCCAGCAAGTGGAGATATGCTCCCCCCAAAAAGTCTAAGGTCAGCAGCCGTGCAACTTGGGGAGAACGAGGCAGGGGTGGGAATTTCCAACGAAGTCGGTTGAACTTGGAGACTCTCGTCAACCCCTGCCAAGGCACAGAACGGCTTCACAGCCTTGCGCAACAGCACGACCCCCGGTGCCACAACAACGACGACAAGCCAGCCGTCCACTACAACATCCACAGAGGCCTCAACGACGACCACTGGGAAGTCGACCACGACTACCAAAAAGACTTCGACTGCAACGACCACCCGCCCAGCCACTACCACCAAGCACGCTGTGACGTTCGATATCATCACTACAAAGCCTCCTCCTCATGCGGCTCCTGTGCTTAGCCACGCCCCACCGGTTACGTTGCCATCAGATATGTCCCACGAGCAGCACGACCATTTGAACGGGGACGAGTGGAACGCCCACATCTCTGACCACTGGGGCATGCACGGTGGAGGTCATGAGCCAGTACAGGAAACAGAACCCTGGAGCATCCACACAGATGCAGCAGGTGTTGAGCATGATGAAGCTGATGGATGGCACGACATCATTCAGCACGGAGACGACGACCATGCGAGCCATCCCATGCCAGAGGATGACATGCACCACATGGATGACATGCACCACATGGATGACATGCACCACATGGATCCTATGGTGCATGAGCCTGAGGAAAGGGAGCTGGATCACGAGCTGCCACACGTGCATATTTCAGTCGAGCCTCCACCTTCTGGCTCTGCACCTCTGGCTGTGGAAGACTATGATCATCCCATGGCTCCGGTGGCACCGCCGACCCCTCCGCTGACGGATCAGGCCATAAAAGATTCCTCAGCCGCTGGAGAGGAGGCAGCAGATGCTGCAATGCAGATGGGCTGCTTGACCTGCAGTTTCAGTCAGGTTCACGACGTCCCACGATGCTTAATCTTTGAAGCTCCGTTCTGTGTTTGTAAGGCTTGCCAGCTGAACGACAAGCTTCTGTTGCTGCTGCAGCTGCGGCAGCGGCTGCCGCAGCCGATGGAATGCCAACCGGCAGTATTCACCAACAGCCCCGCAGTGAGGCATTTTGCGTGACATGTTTGCTAAGGAGCCATGATCAGCAAGCAGCTGCAGCGAAGGCCGTGGCTGAGATTCCCGGCGTTGTGGAGCTTGGTGTGTATTTGGGCCAGGAAGCTGCCGATCATGCTCGCTGGTCTGCGGGCACGAGCTCCACCCAGCCGCCGATCCCAGAGCACTTTGAGGAGAAGCGGTTCAAGTCAAGCATGCCTTCGAAGGGGTCTGGGGCCCTGATGGTCCTGTAGTCACCGTAGTCCCTGAATCCAGGACTCTACGATCGAGACGTGGCCGATGACGTTCGAAGCGAAGGGCTGCCACAAGGCACCTTGGAAACACTTGTCAGCCCATGAATCTTGGCGAACAGCATCAACGTCTTTACGGCTTGATTTGTGTGCAGGCCGCCTGTGGCCCTATTGATGGGTTCGGAGCTCAGCCAGGGCGGGGGGGGAACAGCAGTCAGCTGAGCAGAGCTTGCTTGCGGAGCTTGGGGAAGGTGTCACCGTTTCTTTGCCAGGCTGTTCCACGAGGTTGGCGAGAGCGAGGGCCATCCGATGTATGCCAAGGACGGCGAGGAGGATGCCGCAGCCTCGTGATCCTAAAGCCTGAACCAACGGAGCTCGTCTAGGAACCAACCGAACTGCTGGGCTAGCCTCCGAGGTGACATTGTACTTCCTCAATCATGAGAACATGGCGAAGAGGGGTTGGTGGGTCGGCCAATTTCCAGGCTCTACCACGACGTCTTGCGGCTGCAATGAGGGAAGTGATCCAATGGAGATGCCCAAACCGTACTGAGCCCCGCACAAACTCTTCTCTTCTTGGTCTTGTCTCATCATGTCGGCATTAGGTTCCGAACCCTTGCTTTCTCCGCTGTCACGCAGCAATCATGCCGGGAGGGGTGCTGATGATGACCATGCTGGGGAGGAGCGGATGATGGAGTGAGGGCGACATAGCGTTTTGAAGATGCAGAGAAAGTTGAGTTTCAGAAGGTGACGACGACCATGAGGGTTGACACACGTTGAAGCAATTTCGAGGTATGCCTTCAATCCGTCGGAGGTCTGGGCCTCGGTAGTGAGAGATGCAGGGCTCTCTTCTGGCTGGGTCTCGCGGTCTCGAGGATGTGCTGCCTCCTATGCTTGGATGGCATGTTCCCTGGGACAGCCCTCTCCCATATGTGGGCTTGGAGTTTGTCAAGACAGCGTCTCGGTTCAACAGAAAGTCTGGCACCTGTTGCCCGCAATCATACCAGTCCCCGACCCTGAAACAGGAAGATCACGGGGCCGAGTTCGACAAGGCATCGCCGAGCAATCGCTGAATGCGCACGCGAGGTCTGTGTCCCCATCACTCCTTGACCTTGGAGGCCCCAAAAGAAAGCAACCACAGCCACATGCCGCCAGAGGCAAGTGATGTTAAGACACTTCCTGCGGGTTTTGGCTTGGCTGGGGCCTGGTAGAGGGAACTCGTCTCCCTGCACTGGAAGGAATGGGTGCACACTGCGGAGCATCTGGAACATCTGGAGCATTCGGAGCATTTGCCAACGGAGCCCATGCCAGCCTACGAAGCAAGTCACTGCCTCAACGAGAGTGTTGCTCCGAAGGGCTCCTGGGTGCCTTGGATGCAACAGTCCGTTCTGCAAAGGGGAAAGCGGATGTTGGGAATCCAGGAGATATATAGCTTTGGGCTTTTGCTTAGGTTGTCTACAACGGCACTGACGGAGCTCATTCTCAGCTGCCCGTGTCGGCCTTAACTAAACGATTCGGTGAGGTGGCCGGGTGTAGTTCTCGTAGACTTCGGGAGGGTAAGGGTGCATCCACGGAGGCCTTTTGCAAAGGATTCGACTCCAACGCGCTTGTGCCGGAGGTGGGTGCCCGGATCGGCCTGTCTCGATTGTGCTTAAGCCTGGCTCTTCAGGAATGCTGCCACATCCCAAACCTGCCGAACATTTTTAGCGTCAAGTTCGAGGAGGTCTACGGTCAGCATGGCGAATGTGCCAGCGTTGAAGGTCACGGCCTGGATCTGAGATGGAAAAGGATTTTGGCAAATGGATGAGCATACCCATGCACCCTGCACCAAGGCCTGTTCCTGGAGTCATTCAAAATTAAGCTGAGATGCAACAGCCTCCAGACTTCAATGCAGAGTGCGTAACCCCTCTCTAGTGCTCGAGTGATGAGGAAGTTGTGCAGATGCACCTAGGTGATAATTCCATCATATACGGGCATGATTGCAATGCGGGCTGCCAATGTGGATCCGAGCATGTCTACCAGCACGGATGCCTGGAGCTTACATGGAAACAAGAGGGCCACATGCCTGAGCCCATGTATGAAGACCTGGCAAAATCTGCTGCATGAAGGCTATCGTGGAGTTGATCGGATCCCGTCAACGACGTGGTTCTTCATCGTGGGTGGCTGTGAGTGTGATTCAGCGCTGCCAACTCCATACCAGGCACCGTGCGCGGCAGCGTGCTGCATGTTGCATGGCATGGAGTTCAGAAGCTTCTGCTCTTGTCGAACAACGAGGCCATCACAGGCCATGCAGGGCCGGAGCTGCACATTGACGAGCTTCCCTCCATGCAGGCCAGAGAGAAGAAGCCAACGGGCCTGTAGAGCAGAGCAGGGTCCAGTTCAGATTGAAGTGCTCTTTGTGCTTGTGAGCTTGGCCACATGGAGGTTGGAAGAACTGCAGAGAGTTGAGGGCAAGTGCTCGGCAGGTGAGTGGTGGCCAAGATCCGACAACTGCGCATGTTATTGTCGGGTGGGCTGCTTAGCATGTGGTGTGAAGTCGCGAGTCAGCAACTTAGCTGGCGAGTTCTGGAGTCCTAGACGCGAACAGTCAGGATCTACAAGCCCGTCGGCATCCACCATGACAAGCCGAGCTTCAAGAAGACAGCTTCCTCCACCGAAGACGAGGCAAGCTGGGGCGATGCTCACGTGGTGCCGGAAGCAAGTCTGAGTGGAGGTTTCTATCTACTACGGTCCGAGCAGCTCTGGAGAAGCGGAAGGCTGGTGGATCGGCTCCGGAGCAGGCCCCAAGGGCCGAAGGGTCGAAGGGCCGAAGGGGAGCAGGAAGAGTTTAAAGTTTAAAGCATTGACACCTCGTCTTCGGCCGAGGAACTGCGCATGTGTATGCGTTCAACCCCAACAAGGCTCGGGATGGATCAGGCATGCTCTAATAACTCTAATACTTAGAAGAGAATGGCACGACGGAGGCTTTTTTGTTTGTGCAGGAGGAGCTACCGCCCTTCAGAGGCTGGAAGGCCCCCTGGTGGAGCGGCGTTGACATGACGGTCAAGGTTGACATCGTTGACAAGGCCTGGTGAAAACGGCTGTTTGTTGGGTCGTTCCTTTGTCTGCTTGTTGCAGTTGTTTGTGTACATGTGGTGGGGGGAGACGGGCAACATATGGTCACGCGTTCCGCACCCCCCCCGCCTCCCCTTCCCACGGTCCAGGAGTCCCCCCATGTGGGGTTTGGTGTGGGGTCCCCCAGGTTCGTTAGGGTTGACGGTTTATGTTCTGGTTCAGGCTTGGAGCCTGCATTTAGGCGGGGTTTCGGGTTGGGAAAAAGGTTGAACTTACAGGTTAAGGGCTAATAAGAACAGGAGCATGCACCACGTTTTCGGGTTGGTGGCTTGCGTAGGGCTTCCCCTGGCCGCTCCCCCACAGCACTCCACCATCCAGCCGCAGCTCCCACGACCCCGGCGCCCCCCCGCCCCTCTTACCAGACCGAATGCCAGATGCCTGACCATATACATACGTTCAGAATGCCGGAATGGTGTAGGAACTAGCAGTCACGTCACACGCACTTACCTTGTCCAGGATCGCCATCGCACCGACATCGTAAGGGACCTCCAGGCCCTTTCCAGCTGACAGCCGCATATGCACCTGCACGGTCTCCAAGCCCTGCAACAGGAGCACGAGGACCATGAGGACCATGAGGATCATGATGATCATGATGGTCATCATGATAATGAGCCTCACGAGCACGACTTTTCCGATCTCGACCCACATGAGGCGGCAGCCTCGCATCGTAGGGAAATGCACATTCCGACCTGACACATTCCGTCACAACCTTCAAGCTGTGGGAGCTGCCACTTACCATTGCAAAGCCATGGTTGTTGTTCCATCGAGGACGAGGCCATGAAGCCGGAAGATGTCATGCCGCCGGAGGCATGTCATGCCCTTTTCGATCGTGCTTCTCTCCCTTCCTTTCCTCAAGCGCTGGCGGTTCCCTTCCAAGCTCCACAGTGGAAGGTTGCCGAACTTGGAGTTTTAAGAAGCTCAGTATTCATCGACAAAACAATCGCGGCAGGCTTCGCCTGTAGCAGTAGCACAAGATAGCGAGCTTTGTAGTCGTAGTTGGTGTACAGCGAATGCTTATAAGGCTTATACGTTGGCGACGACCGAAGCAGGACCACTTGCACGGCGAACATCATCCAGACTTGGACCATATGGCCCCGCTGCCTGGATGCATCGCTTTCATGTGGCCCCGAGCGACGCATGAGGTTTCAATCACTTTCGGCCCTTGCGCTATCATTTTATACTCGAGTTCGTGTCAGGGGTATTGTTCGCGTTTGCTGGATCTGGGCTCAGCTAAGGATCATGGATGCTTTTTCCAAGGCTAATGAAGGCACCAATCAGCAGCCCCTTGGCCGGTGGGTAGCTGTATATGTCTACGCAGCAGTCGTAGAGCAGGAAGCTGCAGACTGGACTTGCCCGAGCCCGAGGATCCTAAAAGCTTTGAAAGCTATGATGGAGCACATGAAGGCTGGTGGTCCGTGTGAGTTGCTGATCTGGAGGGATTCCTGTATGGCTTCTTGCCAGGACGTCGAGAAGACTGTGGAGGAAATGCAGGCGCGCATGTACCTTTGCTGGGGCTAGCTGTTCGAAAGTCTTTGCTACCGGAGTTTCGTGTTGTCAGGAAGAGATGCACCCCATCTCGCCTGTACATCCCTTGGACGAGGCAACTTCTTCAGCGTGCAAACTGCAACGCCATCATGCTCGGTTTGTAGCAGGCCGAAAACGCTTCCTCCTTGTCGGGCAAAGCTCTGAGCGCCAGCGGTCGCTGCCTGAGCGTCGCAACAATTTCCCTGCAAGCTCCAATGCTGATTTCAACCCAGGCTGTTCCACGGAAGCGATGCGTGACAAGATAGAAGGGCTGCTCAGATCAATATGCTGTGCTGATCTGCACCCAGATCAGCCACGGCCGTGTGCTAAGGAAATTCTCGCCGGCGGGATTTTACCTGGGGCGGCCAGTGTACCACAGGCCTCGCTGCCCCGATGTGCATCTGCCACAGTAGTCACCGAAAGGTCCGCTATGCTTCTGTTCTTTGATGTGCTTCATGCATGCGTGCCACGACTTACTGAACCATAAGACTTCCTATGAAGCCCGTGCATCTGTTCTCGTCTTTTGACTTCGCGCCTTGAGTTGCGGCACCGTTGCACGCCACCTCGGCAGGCAGTCTGGAGCGCATGTCCGAAGCTCGGTGAGGGGATGTCGGGGCTTGTCTCGGTGGGTTCCTGTGTCTTCGAGGTGTTCATCTACTACCACCACGATGGAGATGATGCCAGTCTTCACGGATGGTGGTTCGGACCTGACACGATGGAGTTCGGCACCAGCCAGAACTGGGCCTTCAACCCCGAGGCCTGGAGTTTCGAAGATGGGCTTGCAGAAGTAATTCGAGTGGCTGCAGCAACAACACTTGGACTAGAACGCTACGACCGTGTTGGCGGTTGTAAAAATCACAGAGAGAGAGATTGCAACAGTTGGCACGCGTGCATCGCACTCGGTGAGTTCGAAGCTGATGGTTACCTGCGACTGCAGGATTCCGTCACTCCTCCACTCTCCGGCTGGCACGTGCCATGGAATGGGCCAGTGGATCCGGCTTTCAAGCTGACGGAGGCAGGTTGAAGCGCTCAGAGCTTGTGGATCGAAGGGAGGAAAGCCCCAAGCTTTGGGAGTCTTTGAAGCCCCAAGATTTTGCATTTTAGGGAGGCTCTTACAGCCTGCGTCGTCTCCATGGTCCCGTGGCCCGCGCCCGTTCTTCAGGCGGCGGAGGAGGCTATGAGCATCGTCAAGAATCACAGTATGCCTCCTGAGGAATGGAGAGGGCGTCCGTCCGAATGTCCGGGGTGGGCGAGCTAGTCTAAGGCATTCCATGTGAGAAAGGGAGATGGGCCGTTTCCAAACAGTCCCACTTCGTGTCGGACGCCAGGAGCACATCGAGGAGCCAATGCAAGTCCCCACAGATGGTGATCCTCTTCCACCTGAGCCGACCCCGCCCATCTCTGCAGATGCCTCGGTTCTGAATTTATCCCGGAGAGGCGTGATGAAGGCTGATGCACTTCACACTCCAAACCGGGGCACTGATGAGTGGTGCTTTTCACAGTGATGCTTCTCAGCAGCGGGTGCAGCAGCGACTGTTTTCAGAGCTAGTCTCAGGAAAGGCCTGAGCACGCGAATCTGGTTCCTCCATCGGCGTTCAACAAGGCGCGTCGGCATTCGCTTACCGCCCCCGGGCGATGTGGGAACGTGGCCCTTTCAGGACCTGAACCCCGAGCAGGCGCGTGAGGCTGGGAACCCCAATGGACGAGCTCCTACCGCTTTTCGCCTGCCCTGCCCTGAAGTGCTGAGGTCATGCAGGACCAGGCCAAGATGATTGCGGCAGCCCCCTCAGCAGTCACGCACTAGTCCTCACACCTTCCCGAGCGTCGAACGAACCGTGCACCTAGGCCGCCGTCAAGCAGCTGCCACTTGGACGCCTTTGGACGCCTTGGGAACCACTCTTCCAAAACTCGGCCTAAGCCGACGACCGAGCCTAAGCCCTCTCAGGTCGAGTGGCAAGGACCTGGCGGACCTGGTCTTCGAAGCTCGGAAAGACCCCAGCAAGTCCCCAGGAGTTGAACCACGAGTAAGCTCTCCAGACCCGAGTCCAACACCTCGCATGGGTGAAGTGGTTCAATCACCTCAAGCACCAACAACGGATGCAGCCGAGGGTATCGACACGAAGATCATCCCCCACGAGCCACCCAGCGATGAGTTCATTGCGCGACTTGCAAAGGATCGGTTCGTTGGTTGACGGACGCCTGTTTGGATGAATAATGGCATAGCCACAGTGGCAGGATCCAAAGCTTGCAAAGAAAGCGCTCGAAAAGCTCGTCATTCACTTGGGGCAATCGGTGAGCATGCGACTTGCGTCAGTCGAATTCATGGATGTCGGAGGTCACGGTCTTGTCGGAGGCCAATCGGAGATTGGAGTCAGGGGAGGCCCGGCTGCCGCACAGGCGAACTCCAGCGGGCCAAATTACCCTCGTCGGTTCATCCAGGCCTTCGCTGACGAGATCTTCGGCCGCCACATGGACAAGTGGTCGGCCGAGGTGCTTCTGACCAACATCACCAGATGCTGATGATGATTGTGATAATGCTTTTTTTGAAGATCAGGGTGCACGTTGCAGTGGTTCGTGGTATGCTGCAAAGCTTGGGTACGGGAAGTGCATTTGCGCAGGCCGAGCCGAATGTCACAGAGGTCTCCGCAACTGCCTCCACAACTTCGACAGTTTCTCGGCTTGGATATGGACCGACGACACTAGTCCTGTGGGGTCGTAACTTCTCAGCACAGGACAGACCGTTTCAGGAGACTCATGCATGATAGTTTCTCGTCAGACCGGCGCACCCGCCGACACGGAGCCGCCGATCGAGAACTCGGCTGCCGCACCGCTGCTCAAGACTGTCGACAAGGTCGACCGCTGGGGGCTAGTGCAGGAGAGTTGCGTTGGCAAGTGAGCCAATGCATGCAATATCACACGATCCAAGACGGTCCTTGTTTGCCATGGCCACCGGCTTGACCCAACAAAAAACTTTGAACATTGACACAGGGCACAGGATGTAGGATGTAAGACCAACGGAAAATGACCTTTCATGGTTGCTCAGCCTTTGTGCTACTGTAGGTGGCGACTGCTGCCAATGCAGCAGCGGAGAAGGCCAGGAAGTGGAAGGCGGCGACGAGTTTCTCGAGTTTCTTCAGCTCAGCATGTGCCGCGATGTTGCGGTGGCCACTTTGAGGCTGCAGAGATTGCAGAAGCCCAAGCCCAACACGAAGCAGAGCAGGCGAGCACACTGTGCGATTCCGCTAAAACGCTAATAGCCTGCAACCACGCCATATGAATGCGTGGCTGGCGTGGGTAGCCCACCTGTCAGGCTTTGCATTTTTCCTTCTTTCTTTGGATAGTTACGGCTACGGATAGTTGTTCTTCACGTGATTCACGTGAATAACTTCTGACGAGCAGCTGGATCAGTGGAGCGCAGAGCTAGACTGGAGCACTTAAACAGCCAAGGACAGCAGTGTAGATTGCGTCCCAAGCTCCCCTTACAGGCCAAGAAGGAAGTGGAGAAGATGACCGTTCAGGCCGCAAAAGAGGAAGCGGAGAAGGCCTCTGGGAGAAGGTCTTGCCGTCTCCGTCAAGCAAGGTTATGGGCTCCTTGCGGACAGGCTATAGAGCAAGCAGCCGATGAGGAAGCAAGGGAAGCAAAGCAGGAAGCGACCAAGGAGCTGCCCGTGCCAGCGCTTGCCGGCTGTCAGACACACTTCTCAAGATTCCGGAGCAGAGCTGCGCATGCAGAGATCCCTGAAGGAGGCGGAATCAGCCGAAGGCGAGGCGAAAGACAAAGCCACCAAGGCCGGCGCCACTGCGACCTTGAGCTCATCTGGCCAGTCAAGTTGCGAGAGAAGGGGTCGGCACAGGTTGTGGCCGCCAAGCAGAAGCTGGAAGAGTTGAAGGGCCAGGTTCCAAAGGAAGCGAAGGATGCCGCAGACAAGGAGCACCCTCAGCCGTGCAAACCATGCTGAATTGTGATCCCAAACCAACTCGGGGGAGTAGCCTGCAATGTATCCCGCACGTTGGACTCACGGCTCGTGACCTCTGCTGCAGGCCCTGCATACAGCAGAGGAGCATGCACAACTGAAGGAGGAGAAGGCGAAATGCTTGGCTCGGGTGCAGTTTTGTTTTCGACATTTCTCGGTGTACTCCTAGGCAAAACTTGTCGACAGGTGCACGAGGCCAGGTTCGCCCTGGAGGACTTGGGAGCAGAAGCTCCGCCAGAGGTCAAAGAAGCCGCAGAAGAGGAGGGGGAACCTGGGTGCAGACTTTCTGTCCGGAAGCAGGGTCGAAGCTGCTTCATGCGGTGCTTCGCCGGCACGTGCAGGCTTTGTCCAAGGCGGAGGAGGAAGCTGATACTGCCAAGACCGAGGCGCGCTGTGGCCCATCGGTCACGCTGATTGTTCCGGGTGTCCTTCGCTAGGATGCCCTTAGCTGACATTCTGAAGCACCCAGCATCCCCTAGCCCGGTTGCACTTCAGGCAAGATTCCATTTTCGAGAAGTCGGGGCGATTCCGTGCCCTACATTTGCTTCTGTAGTGAAGGGTTTCGCGCAACCAGCCCCTCTCTATTGTCAAGTCCAGTGGGTACATGATGAGTAAGCAGCGATTTGACGGCCGAGGAGCAGACGGGTCCATGTGCGTTGCTCCTTTTTCTATAGTCACAAAGAGAAGGGATTACATGGTTGGAGGGGAGACTGGCAGGCGGATGCAAGCTTACACCATGTTCATTCGTGGCTGCCTGTGCTGGTTCGATTCAATTTTGCAATTTGCACTGAGATAAGTACCATGACCGGTTTCCCTATCAGCCTCTGACATTAAAATCACCTACCGTGCGTGTGGATCCTCGCGGCCGATGCCGTCAGGTCGAAGAAGCCAAGCACACCCTAGATGCCATGAAGAACACGGTGACGCCCGAGCAACGTCAAGCTGCCGAGAAGGACGGGAGGATTGTTTGAGGCTCGGATGTTCGCAGCCGACCCCGATGGGTCCAAAGTGCGAAGCATCGCATGGCCCTGGGTGGGAGGAAACGCAGCGCAAGCTTTGGAACCCAGGATCTTTCTGCCTGCGCTTCAAACATTCGATCGCGTCCCCCGCGTCACCTCTGTGTCGCTGGTCTGGGTCCTGAAACCGCGAGGTTGTCTCTGAAAAAGCGTGCAATCGCAGCTCCCGACAGGAGCTGGAGCAGGCACAGGAGGAGGCCAAACAGGCTGAGGCTAAGGCCGGTCGGCCTTCGGCAGTGGCGCGATTCGGCATGTCATGTTGCTCTTCGCCTCATGTGCTGCACGAGATGAAAAGCCTGTCGTGCATGCTCCGCTAGGCCAAGGATGCCGCCAAGAAGGCAGGGGACATCAAGCTAACCAGCCACGACCCGGCCTCCGACAACGTGCTGTACACTGACAGCTGCGGACTTGGGCACGTCCACGATTTTTTCCACCACACGGAGCAATTTGCCCTCCTGTTAGTGTTCTGTTGAGGCCAAGTGAAGGAGGAGAAAGGCATCAATATGGAGTTGTTTAGGCTTATGAAGGTACCTCTGCTGCATCTTGCAGGCGGGGCCGTCGTGATGGGCTCGGAACCGCAGACGGACACCGAGAAAGACCTCCAGGCGGGTTATTGCATGGAAAAAGTAACTGGTGCTGACGCATCTGGCGCTGGCTGTCTGCTTTCTCAGGAGCAGCTGGCGGCCTTGCAGTCCAAGCTGACAGGCATGGAGCGGCTCCAGGTCAAGGACCCTCCAAGCGAGCCAGAGCCAGCCTGGCAGCCCGGGTCCAGCTGCTTCCGCTTGGTAAGGACCAGCTGGACGACCAACTGAAAGACAATCTTTCCGCCTCGCTAAGCCAAGCGGACAGCGTGCCCCGACAGCTCATGATCTGGCGGACGAGAGTGTTGCAGAAGGTTGCAGACTTCGAAGCTTGTGAGGAATTGGCGGCCTCGGCCAGAGATGTGCAGGTACATGCCGTGAAGGCCAGTGGTTAGCGTGGTTAGCAGTCAAGTCCACGCTGGAGGCTTTTTGTACCTTCTGTCCAGGCACCGCGCGCCCTGGCTGAGAAGTCTGGGGAGGAGCCTGAAGTCCTCGTCGCCACGAAGGAGCAGACGGCCAAACCCAAGAAGGGAAAGGGCAAGGGATCCGGCGTGCTCCTAATTGCCGCTCGACAGCAAGAATCAGCAAGCCACCAGGACCTTGCAAAATCTTCTGTGTGGTCCAGTGCAGCGAGGTTCTTGTCCTGACGGTCCTCATTGGCGTGGTTGCCGGTGCAGTCTTCCTGAAGCGCCGGAGGAAGACCCAGGGGACACAGGACCTACAACTGTTACGCTCCCGTCCGCGACTGCACGACATTCCACGACTCGACGTTGTCAGGAGGCCAAGGCAGAAGAAGCCCAGCCGCTGCTGGAGCAGAAGGAGGCACCTTGAAGCGGAAGCAGTGCGCAGTGGACGAACCGCGGCAGTTCTCCGAGGCCAACGGCAACGCAGAGGCCGGTGCCGAGCCAGCGAAGACTGCCAGCGAGGAGGTGTGCGCAGCGAGCGTTTCTTGGGGTGGTTTCCCTTGTGGTTTTAGGGCCGAAAAGGGATGCCTGTCCTGACTCCTCTTGTTCCAGGCGGCAGCGGGTCAGACCGAAAGCCCTGCTGCCTAAGGCGCGGAGGGAACCCCTGCTGCCGGGCAGCATTCCGAAGTCCCAAGGAAGATGTTTGTGAAGTGTACGCATCTTCGTCTGTTCATGTACTGACAGCGAGCAAGGTTAGTGAACACCGGAAGATGCGATGGAGTCTTTGCACTTGCAAACGGCTGAGTCCTCTTTCGGGCTGACCGCTTCTGGCGGCGAATGCGCTGGAGGGCACGGCCCTCCTGTAAATTGCGTTGCAGGTCATTGTGTTTCGCTAGCCGCGCCAGTAGACTATTGGAGACTACATGCCGTGCTCTCTCGGGTGCTGGATTGAGTGAAGCATACCACTGCTTACAGGCACTGGGATTTGCTAGCATATCCCGGACTGCAGCCTGGCACAAAAAGGCTTTGTTCCGCCACTGGTCCAGTGTTCTGAGCGTCTGGCTTTCGAAATCATGTGAGCGCATCCGAACAAGCCTGCAGGCATGGGAGAGCAGTAAAGCTGAATGCGTGAGCACGGAGAGCAAGCACTGTAGGTGCGGCCCTGCAAGCTGCCCCTGCGCCCGCGTGATCAGAAGAGTTGTGCGAACCAGGCAAAAGGATTTCGCCTTTTTGTTTATTGGATAGTGGGACACAGGTGCTTTCCAGCAAGACGCAGCAGCGTGTTCCTGTCAGCTCGCTGGGTGCTTGCAGAGATCGGAAATCTTGTGCCCTTTTGACGGGTCGACGGCACGAAAGCGGCTTAGAGGTGGGGTGCCTGGGGCTCTCTTGCCTTGCGTGTGCCGCCCTTGCGGCGGCACGAGGCGTGCCCCTTCGGCCGGGGCCTTCCCTCCGGGCCTCTCTTGCAGTGATGTTTTCCTACAAACTGTTTCAAGGCAGCCATGGCCGAGCTCTCCCGCTGGCAATGGGCGCCTGGTCGGTACTGGCGACCGGTTGACTTTGGGGTTTGCGGCCCGATTAGGGCTGTTTGATGGCGCCTTGTCATGTGACTGAGGATGATGCAGGTACGTGGAGAGACTTCGCAGAGCAATACCAGGCAGGACATGCGACATCTTTCGGGCCTTTGAACTCCGCTCGTAATCCCTGCAGCAAGGCGCAGATGGAAGCAGCATCTCGGCTTGTCGGATGGTGGTGTGTTTGCTGTTGCTGTTTCAAACCTCAAGCACTGGCACCTGAAACAGCTTCACGTAGGGATTCTTGCTCGTTTTTGAACAATTATGGCGGCGTTTCGCGCTATGGGTGGGTGGGGTTTTCAACGAGGCTTGTTAGCTTGGCTGCCCTTGTCTCCCTTCATTTGGCACGGTTTTCAAGCCTTGTCTTCCATGGTCTCCCTTCATCTGGAACTTGAAAAAGATGAGCAAACCAGTGGAAAGAGACCAGTCTTCACCTTTTCAAGTTGTTCAGTGGTGCAACTGTAACTTAATAGAGGGCATGGATGGACGTGTACTGCCAGGCTGCTGAGTTGAGTAGTGTTGGGATCCAGGTGAATGTGGGTCCATTGATGTTTTCCATGTGAGCCAAAACATTACCTAGCCACACCGTTTCAGTACACAGCAATAGCCTTGGCAATAGCGATTGACCCTTTGCTCATTAGTACTTCAGCACTGTGCCTGACACGGAGGCTCGACATGAATCCTGGTTCTGTCTGAAAAGGGATAGGTTCCATCCTTTGAGGGTTTCGGATGCTAATTGACTGTCCTTTCGGATGCAACAACTAGTGTAGCTGCTGTTGCAGTGGAAGGGGGGCATGTGTATGCAGCTGCCCCGAAACCTTTAACACCTAACATCTGTCAAACACCGTTGCTCGTCTCTCAAGCTTGTATATGGGAAGAAACCGACCCGATAACTGATGTTGCGCAAGAGGCATTCCAGCGCCGTGAGCGCAGAGCTGGCCTTAGCTATGGGCATGCCAGGCTAGGACTTGCAGCTCCGGGTTGCAGGAGTCGCAGTGTCGCTGCAATTTCGGCCCGTCCAGCAATCCCGCAATGCAAAGCAGCTGATAGAGCGCACAACGGACAAGCACCTTAATCGCTATCGACATGGGGCGACTAAAACCACAGCACAGTCAGTGTGTGTCGCGGTAGCAACGGTACATGTAGCGGTAGAGCGAGGTGGCGTGGTGGTGTTCATCGTAGTAGCAGTTCTACTGTAGCAGTGGCAGTAGCAGTAGTAGGAATAAGAGGAGGAGACGGAACAGGAGGAGCAGTAGCAGTAGCAGCAGCAGTAGCAGCAGCGGCGGCAGCAGCAGGAGGAGGAGCAGTAGTGTAGTAGTCGTCGTAGAAGTAGTGGTGGTCGTGGTCACAATGGTAGAAGTGGTACTGGTGGTGTAGTGGTCAGTCGGTGTGGTGGTAGTTCTAGTGCTGGTGCTAGTGCTGGTGGTACTGGTACTGGTAGTGCTAGTGTGCTAGTGTACTTGTGCTAGTGCTAGTGTAATGGTAGTTAGGAGTCGGAGTCGAAGTAGGAGCAGCAGTGGCAGTGGCAGTCAGTAGTACTAGTAGGAGTAGGGGTAGGGGTAGGTGTAGTTGTAGCGGTGGTGGTGGTGGTGGTGGTGGTGGTGGTGGTGGTGGTGGTGGCGTAGTGGTGGTAGTGGTGGTAGTGGTGGTACTGGTAGTGCTTGCAGTATTAGTTGTCGTACTAGGTGTACTAGCAGTACTACAAGCAGCAGTAGATATTACATACAGCGTACACCTTGGCGACACCACTAGAATTGATGTAACATTAATGGGTAAAATGCCAGAGAACTACTGATAAAGTCTGATAAGGCATGAGCATGCAAGTACTACTTGTTCACACTGGCACACAAAGCAGTCTGGACCCTGCAACTCGCCATCTCCTTTTCGCTTCGTCTGAGCCAGCTGCATCGGTTTAATACCGTGCGGCCGAGGTGTGGAACTTTCCATCCCCCCATTCGGCACGTTTCGCATGGCCAGATCCCCAGAACAGCTGTTTGCTCCTGCTCGTAGATCTGTCGAGCCCAAATTACTTGGCGAAAGCAAGCTCCTTTCTGAATGCACAGTCATGGGCCTTGTTCAGGAACTTCAGAAGATGGCACAGATCACGGTGCGTGGCAGAAACCCGGGCTACGAGTCGGACCACCCAGCTTTGAGCGTGAGTTCGATTCGAACACAAACTCTCACCACTCGGAGCACGAAGCAATGTCTTCGAGAAGGGCTGACCTTTCCCTGTGCTACGTGGCTGAGGCGAGAAATTCGACGTCAGGTTCGGAAAATCGAACTTGGCCAGCGCCCCGTCTTGTCGCACTCGATCGAAGCACGTGTCGTGATGGGCACGGAATGGCACGGATGCACAGGCTACTTTCTCCTCGGCTACGAAGGTGAGATCTGCTCGTCGGACTCTTTAGTGGACCGTATGGAGGACGGACCCATGCCTTCCCAAGGTAAGTCCGGCTGCAAAAGCCTCGGTGAGCTTGTAACTCAGGACGTAGATGTCGTGGACAATCTGGCGAAGGACAGTGGGCATTGGGGTTTGGCTTGGATCTGCCGTGATGCACAGTGCTTTCGACTTCGGCAGGTGCTGCGCAGAATATGCGACGAGCCGGAGGAGTTTTCCTTTCGCAGCTTGAACTTAGTCGACGACGAGCGGGAGTCTCAGGGATCAACCATCCGTTTCGAGTTCTAGGCTGCTAAAGGATATGGAGAATTGCAGAATCACGCAGAATCTGCAAGTGTGATGCCCTCGAGTCTCAAGTGCCGGCCAGGTTCAGGGACAACCTTGGAGCAAACGAGGAGGCGCAGCAGTTCCTGGAAGAGCTAGGCGTTGCTGGCTCGTTTCTCAGCTGGGAGTTTAGCATGACACGAGGAGAACGAATGACAACCTTCGTGGAACAGTGGTCGGGCTAGCATTCCTTCGAGTGAAACAGGGAATGAAGCTGGCTGCTTCTACCGGATTTGTTTTAGCTTCGTAACTTCGTAACTGTTGGCAGGATTCGAGCTGATCGAGGAAGGTCCTCAGCGATGTCCTCGGCATCTGGACATGAGTGTCACTGCATAGTTTTTTTCGGCAGTAACGTGCCAGTGCCAACACTGTTCAACACTGCCGTGACACCGCGAGGGTTCGAAGTTGGAAGCCTTAGCCTGCGACTTGTGACGCCTTCTGTGTGCATGCTGGGGAGATGACACACCGGCCATGGGCAACATGTGTTCTCGCTGGTCTTTGCAAAAGTCTTCGCATGATGACTTGTCGCTCGCATCCTGCCGGAGTCTGTTGCGGCAATCGAGCAATCGATGCGGTAGCCAGAGCGCTGAAAAGGCAAACTGTTCAACCTCTGTCGCCTGCGCTTGCCTGACAGTTCCGCGACTGTCTTGCAAGACGCTTCAACTGCATGAGTTCTATGTTGAGTCCGAACCAACTGCAAAACATATTTTGAGCCATGGGTATCCGTCGCCCTTTGGTCAAGAGGGCCCTCCCACCTTTCTGCATGATGCGATCAGTGCTACAGTGCTTGGGCGTCCCACTTGGTGCACTGTTCGTCCACCCAAGTGCCTGGTCTGAGGCGACTGTAGTCTGCGTCCTCTTGCATCACTACAAGTGCTCGCGTTGCGTTGGCTAACTTTGCCCTTGCCCAGGTCGTTTATGGTTTTCATGCAAGAGCAGGCGGGGAATACAATTTAAAATTGAAGAGATTTTCGATGTAATCTGCTACATGCGGCTTTTGTTTCAGTTCTTCTTGCTTGCTTTACCTTCAAGGGCCCGGACGGTGAGCCCTCGTTGTTGTTTGTTTACCTATGTCGTCCAGGAAAATCCTAGTTGCAACTAGCTTAGGCTTTGGCGGTCTTCTTTGATGATTTGTTAGCCGCTGAACCGATGAGCTTTGCTTGCTCCGTGGCTGTGCAGGTGGAAGGCTTGCGAGGAGCCTTGAAAGATGTAGAGGCCACGGAATTCCAGCGTTGTCGTATGTGGCCGCATAGCCGTCAGCTTCTGTCGCCGATTTCCCTCTTGTGCTTTGCAATCAGTTGCTATCTTGAAAGGCCCGGTTGAAGAAACTCGGTGTCAACCCTGCGGTAGAGAGCAACGCCTGCGTCGCCGCTCGAAGGCAAAGACCCAGTTTCTCCCTGTCATTCCGAGGCTCCTAGGTCCCCACGCATCAGGCCACGATGGGGCTCCTTCGGTTTTCGGAGCTTGTCTTTCGATGAGATGTGCGTACGCGGGAAGGTGACTGACTTGTGACTTGCCGGCTGCATGCCGCCAAGGAGTTGAAATTGTTCATGCTCACATCCAAGGCTGCTGACAGCAACCTCGTCGAGTCCAATGACGTCGTTGAGTGCAACAACGTCGAGTCGAATGACGTTAGCTCTAAAGCTGCCAGGCTGCAATCGATTTGCGTGGGGGAATCTTCGGTCTCTGTGTCCTCCCAGGCCGAGCTGGGCTCCGGGAATGTCCCAAAGGACTCAGAGAGAAGCCAGCTGCAGGAGGCCAGGTGCAAAGATCCGTGGCTGTTTTTTCTGAGAGGTGTTTGCGTCGCATCTGAAACGGAGGCAAGCCCAGCCGCTCACCCTGAGAGCTCGGCACCTCAGTCTGCTCCCTTTCACCTTTAGAGTTTGCGTGCGACCTCTGTGCCAGGAAGGGCCAATCGCAGGTTTATACTACTAGACAGCTGATCGTGCAAATACTGACGCTGACAAACGTCACCGACTGCGGCTACGACCAGTATGTATCACCAAAGCGACGACAACTTCTAAACTGCACTACACCCCAGGCTTTTCTAACGCTACACTGCAACTGCCGCGGCCCTCTCACTGCCACTGCCTCTGCCACCACCACTACGGCTGCCGCTGCTACTGCCACTGCTGCTACCCATGGCCACGGCTACTACGATCCTGACGGTGGCACGACTGAGCTGCCATGTGTTCCTGTCTCCTGGGTTAGGATCTTGGCGCGGATAGTCAAGCGAGGCCAGGGCGAATCGCCAGCGAGCTGTGAAGTCACAGCAGCCCAAGTCTCGGCACAGAAGTGCTTGGGGTCCAGTGTGTGGATTCGCCTACCTACACGTTGCCTGCAGATTCTCCCTTCTGGCGATCGGCATTGCCTCAAATTGCCGGGGTCTCGTGGTACTGTCTCTCGCACTGCCGAAAGCCAAGGTGTTCGTTTTGCGAGGGGTCAACCCAAGAAGATGTCGGTGCTATGTACATAGTGAGGAACTACTGTGATAGTTCCTTACGGTTATAAATAAATAAACAAGTGTATATATATATATATATATATATATATATATGCATATATACGTTCATAATGTATACATATATACATATGTATGAATCTGCATGTATGTATACAAATAATATTATCGTATATATATATATATATGCGTATAGAGTTATGTTGTGGTTCGTTGGCCATGTGCAGGCCCGGCAACGCGACACTGGAAGACCTCCTGAGAGAACTCAAGGTCGAGCACCTGCGTCTAAGAGGGAAGTGTGGTGAACATGGCGGTGGTGGGTGGCGATGAATCTCCTGGTTTTGCTACCTGACTGCCTGTGGCCATCAAGACGATGTTTTTCATGTTGTTACATGTTGTGCTACATTGTGTTTTCAATGCAGGGGGAATATGGTGAAACTCATTTAGCACTTCGGTTTTCACTGCTCGGAACGAAAGCACTCAGCTAATGAAGCGGTGCTGTGCGGCCATGTGCGCTCTTGCATTGGGGCTCTCGGTTGTGGCATCCAGACGTCTGGAAATGCCTGAGGGCTCCAGGAAGTTGGGCTGTGGGTGACCTGCTTGGCAACGCTTCTGGCCATACGGTGGTTGCTGTGGAGTTGAGTCGCATTTCGCATAGAACCTATAGGCAACTCGTAGTGTGCCTTGACAGCCAGGTAGCTCTCCCGAGTATGCGCTTGCCCTGCCTGAAGCGTCAGGCCTTGGACAGGGATTGGCTCTATTGGTTTACCATATCTGCCATATCTCAGCGCAAGAAACATAGTTATGCAGTGTGGGGGGAGGGGCCGGAGTTCACCCTGCACATGTCATGAGTTTTTTGGTGCTAGCATGCGGGAGTTGGTAAGACTACATGCTCATGTGCATGTTTATCCGAAACATGTAGATGTTTACATATGCAGGTACACTTTCGTTCATAGGAGTATATGGATATGCAAACGTCTCGGTATCATCTCTTACTCTGTGTTGCAGCGTCGCAGTTGTGAGGAGAAAATCCACAATACAATGCTGTACAGTGTTGCGTCTTACTTTTGGAAGATGTGTTTCTGCAACCACGGATTTGCAATAAGCATGTGCAGTTGGAGCTCAATCCGGACATCCATGCGCTCATGCATACATACATATACATACGAAAGCTCTCAAGCCTTGTTGTCGGAGAGGGCAGCTCCGGCAACCCAGGCGCAGCAGGAGCAGTGGCCACGACTGGAGGCATGCAAGGGAACGCACTCAAGAGCAGTAGTTCGCAGGGAGAAGCTGCCTGTGCGAGGTTGTCCCTCGGTTCATTGTGTTGGAGCCAACAGACAGTCGCTTGCTTGCACAGGCCAGCCTATCAGGAACGAAGGCGAAGAAGCGAAAGGGCTCAGCAAAGGCCGGGCCAAAATGCGTTGCGGTATTCTGTCGCAGTAGAGGGAGTGCATCATGGAAGCTCGGGCAGACCTAAGCTTCCTTGCTACTCGCTGGTCAGAGTCTAGGACTTTGCAGGGATTTGTACCGAGCTCGTAAAGTGTGATTCCAGTCCACATGTCGCGTGGCCAGGGGAAGGGAAAAAGCAAGACAGGGAGAGGTAAGCCTTCCAATGAGCCAGGCCACGTGCCAGGGAGTAAATATGAGCATGGATGCCGGTTGTGCCAGTTGTGTAGCTTTTGCTGGGGACAATTCCAAGGTTCTGTTGAGGCAGCAGAGGCGAGCTCAACGCCAGAGAGTGGGACACTTAAGAAGTTCGCTCTTTTGCCTGAGAGCCCATCTTTAAGAGGTGTTGCACTTCCTCCAGTGCTGCTGTTTCTCCCAGAGCGCACTAATCCATCTAATGTGCCGGACACGACGACTAAGATTGTTTGCTGCTGCCATCATCACTACTACCACTACTACCATTACTGCCACTGCCCCTACTACCACTGCTGGCACTGCTGCCACCACTGCCACCACCACGGCTATTGCTGCTACTCCTGCTCCCAGTGTCAGTGCCAGTGCTACTGCTCCCGTAGCCGTTGCTGTTGCTGCTGCTGCTGCTGCTTTTACCTCTGCTCCGCTAGCACGACGACGCTTTTGCTTCCGTCAGCGCCGCCGACACTGCGGCTGCCGCTGAACCAGGCGGTCCCGTTCATTTAGTCTTGTGATTGCAAGGTGCCGATCCAGTGATGCATCAAGTACCGATCCTGGAAATGAGTCTGGCCTCAGAGCTGGGCCCTAAGGGGCATGCGAGCTGAATGTCGCCCAGGCTGAGTCCGTAAGGCTGCACACCGGTATTTGTCTTACTATGTTCCCAGAACGTCTTTCTACTGTCACCGTTTGACCTCATGCCTTTGAGAGTGCCATTTTGATCTTCCGAATCTTGAGCATTGTGCCCTTCTGGCAGGAGGGTCAATCTTGAAGTTGGAGCTTCTACTTGCTTGCTATCATGCAAGTTGAATCAGATCAAGTCTATTAACTGGATTCAGTTGCGGCCTCCCCCGGGCTGGAGCAGTCAGGTGGCAGTAGCTCTACTGTAAGCACTGCACGAACGACACCGACGATGCTCGCAAGGGCTCTGCTGCTGCAGACAAGCAATGCCTCCTTATGCAGATCCGCTCGGATCAGGGTTCCCGACGGGATTGCAACCGACAGATCTCGTCGTGGTGATAGACGCTAATGGTATTTGAAGTCTATCGCTTCCCCACCAAGATCTCGAACAGTCCCAGGCCTGGGGTCGCTTTGTGGAGGGCTTGCTCCGACCCCAGAATGCTGGGGGGGTTGGGACGAGCAGCTTCTGGGTCGACTGAGATTCTCAGTTCTGGTAGCCGTTTAGCTTGAGATGTGGGTTGGATGGGGCTTGCACCATTCAGGCGATTGCACAAGTCCTGATGCACAAAATGAGCTTGCACGGTGACGGGTTGCTCTCGAAGACCAGCGAGCTGCATCTTCGTAAGCCTTTCCCGAACATCGAATGCTGGGGCGATTATGGGGCATTGATGAGTGCAATAATGATTGTCGTGTGAGATCCTTGTAAAGCAGGCGGCACATTGTCAACCGTTTTGAGCTTGGATTGTCCAGGCCATACTGTAGCGGGCAGCGGATTCTGCGGCACGTTGTGATCTGGGGTACAAAAAAGCCACAAGCATCGAAGGCCATTGAACATATTGGCATCCTTGTTTTTGTGAACCTGGAGATGGATCCCTATAGTAGTCCCTATATTATCCCCCATAATAGTCATTTCCCCCATTCAAAAAGCAATTGCAATGCCCTCGTCTCTGGACTCATCCCACAGGCCCTCGCTTCGTCACGGCGCGTGATGCCGCGGGCAAGCAGCTGCCCAGCTCCCAAGTGGGATGGGGGACGTTGGACATTGGAGAATGGAGCAGTAGTGATAATTCTTATCAATGCTAGCAATACGAATAATAATGGCAATGACAATGCTGGCAATAGAGGAGTGAGTCAAGTTTTGCCCTCACCGAAGGGTTGTGGCCGATCCGGAACCGACGGACGCGACACCGGCAACGCCTTCAGAAGTGAAGGCCTTCCCTCCGCCGGAGCCTCGCTGCCTCGCTAGCGTGGAAGGTCCGAGGGTCGTCGATTCGAGCGGAAGGTTTTTCAGAGGATAGGATGGTGTCCGAGCACCGACCGAGGAACAACGAGCACGTTGCTTGGGTGCCCTACAGGAAGGTTTCAACAGGGATTCGGAAACCCGAGTCGGCCAGAATCTAGAGGTCTATCAGCCCAGGTGGCTGCGTGCTGTTAGGCTACGACTGACCCCAACCGCTGCGATGGCTTGACCTTGTTCAGGGGGCCGTACCAGAAGAAGCTAAGATGGCATTACTAGTCCTGGACTGTCCGCATTCAGCGCCCCGCCGAGCAAGTACGAAAGTAGAAACACGACTCCTTAGGGACTCCTCAGCAAAGCCTGCGGCAGCCGAACCGGCCCCATCCTGAGTGGGTTGTGCGAGACTTGGGGACTTCATGTGCTTCTGTGGGCTTTGGTTTCGTTTGTAACATTACTGCTGCTGTGCGTGAGGAGGGTAATGCTGCAGTGAAGAAGACTCCTGCTGGCCATGTCGAGAATTGCTCGTATGTGTATATGACATACATACACACACACACACACACATATATATATATATATATATATATATATATATGGTGCAGCGCTGCTAGGCCCCCCCTCCCCCCCCCACCCCATGGTATCCCCCCCTCCCCCCTGTGGTTCCCTGTGGTGTGGGTTCCCCCCTGCCCCTCCCCCCTGTCGTTGCGTGCGCCCCCGTCCATGGCTATGCGTCCGGTTGCTAAGGGTTTGGACCGTAGGATGTGCTACAGTTCTATTGAACTCCGACCTGCCCTGAGCTCCAAAGCCAATGATAGTGATGAATATGATGGTGATAATGACGAAGATGGTGCTCATGATCCCCATCCGCACTCTCATCAGGTTCCTTGCTCAAAAGTCCCGAATGAAAACCATTCAAATACGTGCTCAAGCTTACTTGTACGGACCCCAACCGAAACTTGGCTTGGAATGACAACGGTCGATATAGTTTTCGCAAGAACATCACAAGCCAAGCACGGTTTTCAACTAGATAAAGCGATGAACATGCGGTGCCGAAGCCCAGAGCAACATAAGAGCAAAGGTACCACCAATAGCCACACTGGGACTAGCACATCAACATCATTGCGCACAACATTCTCATTTGTGCTCGAAGAGAGGGGAAGGGAAGGGGCCCGGTGGTTCCTTGTGTGGATTATCCTTCCCCACCCCGTTTTTGTGGTTCGCCGTCTTGTGGTTCCACTATTGTGGGTTATCCCTCCCGCACCCACCCCCGATTGCCAAGGCGAGAGGCGAGGCCTGGCTTGGGGGAGAGTTACGCGGATGACGTGTGACTGTTTGATTGGACGAGACGCCTGGCTTCGGGGGGGGGGGGGGCATATACCATGGGGGGTGGGGGGGGGGGGCCTGCGACGCGGCGACGCGGCACCATATATATGGGTACCCCCCTATATGGGGTCCCCTGGGTTTTTGCACACCTAAACCATTAAACCATTAAACCAATCCTTTCCCCCAGTGGACCCAAACCAATAAACCATTAAACCATTAAACCAATCCTTTCCCCCAATGGACCCAAACCAATAAGCCATTAAACCATTAAACCAATCCTTTCCCCCAATGGACCCAAACCAATAAACCATTAAACCATTAAACCAATCCTTTCCCCCAATGGACCCAAACCAATAAGCCATTAAACCATTAAACCAATCCTTTCCCCCAATGGACCCAAACCAATAAACCATTAAACCATTAAACCAATCCTTTTGCCCCATACCACTAAACCATTAAACCATTAAACCATTAAACCAATCATTTGCCCCTATAGAGAGAGACACACAACCCTGTATGGGCCGAAAGCATTGGTTTAATGGTTTAATGGTTTAGTGGTTTAGGTGGATTGGGGGAAAGGATTGGTTTAATGGTTTAATGGTTTAGTGGTTTAGTGGTATGGGGTAAGGGGATTGGTTTAATGGTTTAATGGTTTAGTGGTATGGGGCAAAAGGATTGGTTTAATGGTTTATTGGTTTGGGTCCATTGGGGCAAAGGATTTGTTTAACAGTGTGCTAATTTAACGGTTTGTTAATGGTTTAATGGTTTAGTGATGGGTCTAGGGCTGCCTACTACACAGGTGTCCTGGTTATAACCGGGGACAGAGGTTATAACCAGGCCTGTGCCACCGCTACAGTACTTCATCCACACCTAAATCCAAACGTTCGAAAGTTTCGGTGTTTCAGGGTGAATGTAACCGCAATGAAATTAAACAAGGACTAGAAGAACAGAGGGTCCGAGGTAATTGGCTGTATTCGGTTGTTGAGGCATGATGCAGTGCTTTGTAACAAACATAATTCCGGGGACCATATGCGCATTCCCCAACTTTAGCGGAAAGGCTATATGGCGGACTTTACACAATGGTCTGTCCGTTCCAGTACATCGGGTTTATGAGATCTACGTACACATTGAGAGAATAGCCGCTAACATGTCACTCACGCAGGAATCAAAATGCGGAATATGAAGGGGCTCTATCGGGATTACAGTAGGTCAGTAAGTGTTGTCAACATTGGAATATCACGGTACACAGAAAGTTGAGATACGGCTGATACGACGTCATTGTAGGGAGAGAGAGTATTTCAATTTTTACAGCGTGGTCAGGTTTCGTCACTTCGTACAGAGGCGAACTGGTTGCAACGTTATGTTCAAACATCGTTCCAAGGAAGCCGGAATTCGACGAGACAAAACCGATAAGAAGATGTGTGGTGAGCGAAACAAAATTTGCGACTTAAACTGTCAGGTTTCCTCACTGTTAGGTTTCCTCGCTCGGTACGTAGAAAATTCCTCGCACTGCTATTTCCAACTACATGGATGAACCTCTTTCGAGGACTGATTCGGTGTGTGTGTGTACCATTTTTCCCAACACGAGGATCACGTTCTAGACTCTATGCGACTTGCAGTAAATATTTACAAGAACACAAACAGAAATTCGGACAAGCTAGATGTAGCCTTATGGTTTTCAGTCGGCTTTACCTGATGGTGAAGGTGTGCTGATACAAGAAGCACAGGCTTCATCACTCAGCATATAGAAACAGTGCCAAGCCTAAGAAGCGACGCTTCATGTCGTCCCCCAGGAAAAAAATTTACAACGTTTGCTAAGCTTGTAATATGCAAGTTTTCAATTTGGGCTTGGGGCAGCCGTCATACAGAATTAAGGAGTGCACCACTCAAATATACCTACCGGATATACCAGTGTTTAAAAGCAATCACATGGGGGCACAGGGATATGTCATTGAAAGCTATCAGTTTGCCAAAACGTCATAGCAATGGGTCCAACAACAGAGACTTTGGTGGGATTGCGGCATTACAGTACAAAGATGGAAAACTTTTCGTTGCAAAATCTAGTTCGCGATAAGGAATGACTGAACCAGACTAATGACTACAGCGCTCTTGTTGGAAAAAAACTGAAATACAGCCGTTTAGATAAGGTCACACAAACATGAACTACGAAGATATATCGACGGCTTCAAAGCAAGGATTTTAGCACACTGTAACAGGGTTTCGACGAAGGTGTCATAGAATTCTTAGCGTTGTGCGGGTTTCAGCATTCTGAAAACATGGTCTTCAAACCGGATATAATACTGTAGTCGATGACGTACACCTGATTATAACCTAGTCGGCTGGTTATAACCTAGTCTGGTGGTTATAACCGAGTCAGATGGTATAGCGAAAAACGTAGGGGACCCCAAATAGGGGTGCGCCCATATATATATATATACATATATATATATATATATCATATTCATTTACGTATAGTATAAGATGTGTATATGTTCATATGTATGTATGCATCCATGGATGGATGGATGGATGCCTGTACGTTTGTGTTTTGCGCTTGAACCGCCAAGATGTAGTGGAGAACGCCCTGACTCAGAACTGAACCCTGGAAGGACAAACTGGTTCGCGCTGGTGTGTTCCTCAAGCTTCCTAAGGGCCTAACATGTTCATTGGAGCAGAGAGAGTATAATAGGTATCCAGGACGCTCAGCTAAGTCTCAGCCATACCTAGTGCTTTTGTCATTTGCGCATCCCTCCTATTGGTTGCGTGTATTGTTCATTGCAGCTACCTGCTCCCTGCCTCTGTCTCCCTTCTGTCTCTTTCGATGGCTGTCATGCCTGTGTCACACGCTCACGCTCACTGCCTGTTTTTCGCTCTCCCCGCATCTCTCCATGTCTCCGTCTCTCTGGCTTCTTTGTTTTGCTGAAGTCAGAACTAGTAACGAAAGCTCGTGCATGTGTGCACTACCTACATAGCTGCCCACCTACCTACATACCTACCTACCGCCATGCGAGAGGACCGAGCTGGCTACCTAGCTAGCTAGCTAGTTCGCCACCTAGCTACCTAGCTGCCAAGCTCCTAGCTCACTACCTGGCTACCTAGCTACTTTGTTACCTAGCTACGTACCAACCTACGTGTGGAAGTACACGCATATGCACATGCACACATACAAGCATTCACATGTCGACACAGACGCAGATGCAGGCATAGTTACATACACTTGCACAATTACATGCTCACAAGCATGCATGCATGCATTCATACACACGCAGAGACATAATTACATGCACGCAAGCATGTATGAGTACATGCATGCACACACGCACGCACACACGCACGCACACACACGCACACACGTGCATGCATGCAGGCAGGAGTGCATACATAGCACACATATACGGCAATGCATACGTCCATACATGCATGCATTCGTACACCTACATAGAAATTTACATACGTACATACTTACACACATTCGAATTCACACACATACAGACGACAGTGCATACATGTCATTAAGTATGTCCTACACATACATACTTAGATACATACACACATAGATACATACACATGTGTGCCAAGTCTTTACCTGTGCAATGCGAAATCTGATCCAACCTGTCGTTTTTGCCTGCATACTGATCCGTCTTCATGCCTAGCTGTCTGTCCCTGTTTGACATCAGGCTGCTCCTTTCTCTGTTTCTGTGCATATGTGGTGTGTTATCGTGTTGGAAGATGTCCATTCGTTACATTTCTTGCCCTTGTGCTTCATGTGTCATTATTTATGCTGGCCATGTTTTGCAGATGCTACGGCATCCATGCCGTTCCCAGAAATGTCCATACATTTCGATCTGTTCCCTCCAAAGCTTGTGTCTGAAATATAGAGATGTTGGAATTCACCAGAGTGACAACCGTTACCCTGCTTCGCCGACTACGCCATGCAGGAGGCAAAAAAGAAGCTTGTGGGTGACGCATCGATTGTCCATTGCATCAGGTTGTGGTGGAGGACTTCGAAGAAGCCTTCACCAAGCGCCTGCAACTGCCTCGGCATTTGGACTGTCAGGGTAGTCGGTTTGGGCATCAGCTTGGGTCGCCTCGACAGGGCTGGGTTGTGTATCCACCACCGTGAGTGAGGCAAACAGGTCTTCTTCGCCTCCGGGATCTCGCGTCTGTGGCACCTTTGCGCGGTTCCTACATGGTATAACGCATCTCGTTTGGCAACACATATCGTTTGGACACGCTGTGCTTCGACCTTGAAATTTCCCAGTTTTGAGCTTTGCCTGCTTTAATTACATGCTACGCCGCGCTGCCTGGAGGTTGGACTGGGAAAAGCCAGAGCTGCCAAAGATGTTGACCGGGCGTGTGAAGTCGCTCTTAGAAGGCTAGGTCCCGCATCCTCTGGCATGCTTTGTGCGTGTTCGCACCATGCCATGCCCAGGATCTTGCGAAGCTTGGTGCAAAGCCGCCGGAAGCATCTGTTCAGATGCTCGGCATATTTCAGAGTATGGGGGAGTCGAAGGCTCAAAGCAGAGTTATACTACTAGTTTACTACTGCGAGTTCTGGTCGGATGCACTTCTTCGTCCAGCCGGAATTTGCATATAAATTTCGGACTTCCTAATGTGTGGAACTTGTCGCCAATGAAAGATATCTTGGGCACCTGTCGCAGATGGAAGATACGTGCCCAACCCCCACACGGGTGTTTCTTCCTGGGCCTGAGAGCCAGACTGCACAACAGGCCGCCGGAGTGGGTATTAGGTTCCTTGAATCCGAGCTCTGGCCACAAGGCCAGCCCAAGTCCAAGACTCGGCTGCATGCTGCGACTGCTCCCTCGGGTCCATGATCGGTGTAAGACCTGTCGACGGACTTTTTTTTCTTCCTCGCTCGTGTTCACAGAGTCAAAGTCGTGGCAGAAGCATAGCATCCGGTATTGGCCTGGTCGGCAGGCTCTGTGGTGTCTTGTGCAGGATCAAGTCCAGGCATCGCAAAATACTCAATTCCGGATTTCCGTCATCTAAGTGCCGGACGAACCGCGAGTACTTGCATCATGATGTCTCCTAGGTACATAGACGGCCCTGGCATGGGTTTTCTGTGTGAGCCAAGAGACTATGTCGGTAAGGAGGAGCTACAGTGTGCCCGAGCTCTGCTTCGCCGTGCACTGGATCTCAGATGGGATCGGGTTTCTTTCTGTTGGGCTGCTGCAAAATCTTGGCGGATTGCTAGGTCTACGGAAGCCTGCCCATGGACGAGAGGTTACGGTTGGCGCCCCAAGCTATGTTGGAGGCACCACCGGTAGCTGCATGGTGGAGCTTCCCGCGTGGTCTAGGATATGCCGGGAGCTACTTCCTCCAGAAAAGCGTGACCGCAAGGCCATCACCGGTCCCATCTGGCCATATGGTCTTGTCACAAGAAGCTTGCTGCGACGACAACATATTGCCCTTCCGCTGTTCTACTGCTGGGACTGTTGCGCTCTTCCCTTCATATCGTCATAAGGTTTGGTGCTTTGTCTATAACAGCCGTTTTGTTAGGCTGCAAGTAGTCGCCCCGCCAGCGTTCGACATCGCCTTGGGACAGGTGATGTGGATGCCAGCATTTTCCTGGTGGTGGATGCGGGCGGGATGGATTTAATTTGTTTATGCGTGCTGGAATGGATCGATTCATGGTGGATGCTTTCGGACTGTTTCCCAGCAGCCCGCCAAAAAGACATAGCAGCGTTTGCGTGGTTGTGGATGTCGTCGTAACTCTGGACGTGATTACCTGGCAAGCAGTGCTGGGTGCAGATGCAAGTGGCGGCTCTGCTTCTGCCACCAACTGCGACTCACTGCAGTCATGAGGATTGCTTGTTCCGCTTTGCTTTTTGGTTGCTCTGCTGTTTCCCCGTGGCTCCTACCAGCTTGCTTGTCTGACATTGTGCATTGTGGTTTCATGCTCATTACTCCCTTCGACCTGCACTTGCTGTTGTCTTCGACCTGTTCTTGAGAGAGTTCCGAAAAAGTAACACAGGCCCATCTCCAAGTGGACCGCGGGCAGGCTCGGAATCTGCTTTGGAACGTGCTTCAGGTTTGAATGGCAGAAGCGCGAGGGTCTTGATGTTGAAGTCTTCAGTGTGGTCTAAGTCGTTAAAGAAAGTGCAAGCGAGAGCATCGGAAAATCCGTCTCGTCGCAGCAACAAACTCTCACACGGAACCGAAAGTGGGAAGCATGCGTTTAGCATGCAGAGAGGGCCGAGGAAGAAGAAGAGAAGCACGTCGCTTGGGCCCTCACACAGAGAGATGGCTCTACCATTCCTGAGACTCTGAGACCCAGGAGGACAAGGAAGGGGCCGAAAGGGTCCAAAGCGTGTGCGCACCGAGGTTCGATTTGTTTAGAATTCACGAGCTCGTGTGGTGGTGAGGATTTCCTGAAGAATACCTTCACGGGACTTATGAAGCTGACCGTGGAGGACGCCGTCGTCGTCATGATTGCCATCTGAGCAAGATTCACGAACTCTTTGCCAGGAACTTCGGAATCCGTTGAGCATCCGATTCGCTGGAGAGGCGTGGAAGAGGTAGACGAAGATGATCTTGAGCAGTGGCTGGCGGTGATTTTGTCCACGGCTTCTACTGAACTTTTCTCGAGCATTGAGCTCATGTTTGAAACTCTGGGCTCGAACTGCCAGTTGTTGGAAAGCTTATGGTTTCACCCGTGGTACGCAACAGGGCTTGCCAGTCAGTGCCTTTTTCGCATGGATCCTGTGCTTGCGGTGCCTCTAAGTTTCCACAACTTCTGGGTGACAGTGCTCTGCATTCCAGTGGTGGTTTGGGCTGCACAGATCAGCTACCGCCTTCTTATTGCGGTATTTCTGCATTATCGGTTGAACACCAGCCGGCCACTGGTTCTTGATCGCATGAGCATCTTTGTTGATGACCTTCAGCAGCTCATCCGCCAGCACTTCAACCAGATACTGCGAATTCGTCGCACGGTGCCTTCGAAGATGGTTTCCAAGGTCCAGCTCATGGTCCATGTTCAGCCTGAGAGCTTGACGGTCCAGTCTGATTCGGGCGACAGGATCAGCTTGCAATTTTCTGTCGACGCGTCGCAGCCCTGTGCTGCCGTGCTTTTCTGGGGGGTCACGAACCAGGCGTGCCAGGAGCTGCTGCGTCGAGCATCTGAAAGACGTGGTCCAGAAGGCCTAGCTTTTCTGGATCCGGAACGGGCGTCCTCCGTGTTTCCCAGCGGCCAATATGCCCATCGATCCACGGCAGCTTTTCCAGCTGGGCTCGGGCAGCCGGTGAGACTAGGCAAAGCACATGCACTTGCTAAGCTGCCAAGAGCTTCGAAGGCTGCATGTAGTGAATTGGGTTCTGTCCTTGTTGCTCGATGCTTGTAGCATGTCCTGTCCCAGATGAAGACTTGGCGGCGATGCGGCGAGCCGGCTACGATCTCCTGCAAGCAACGCAGAGCGCTGGAGCGGACTCCGCGGACAACAGGACAGCGCCTTTCGGGGCTGGAGAAGACTGGTGTGTGCACAGTAGAGTTCCCACGGACAGGTCAAGAACCCAGAAGATGTTCCGGTTGAGTCTTTGATAACATGTCCTGACCAGGATACCTCTCGTGATTTGCACAGGGGTGCCTGGGAGTGTTCTGCACGATGCGAGCTCTGCAAACATGCAGATAACCTTTGCGACTCGGTCAGCATGTCATATGCGTAGCAGCCACAAGTCATGGGTGCAGTCCTGCCAGCTCGTGAACTAATCTTGTGCGAGGTGCGCTTTCGAAGAGAAGGCGCATCTGGGCCCGTCCAATGTGAAGTCCTCCGGCAACTGGTGGCATCCAAAGACGTGTTCCATCAGATTTTGGGAATCTACGGCTTCGAAGAGGGAGACCGGGAAACCGAGTGCATGGTCTGCTATGATCGCCCGCGGAGTGTTGTGGTGCTGCCTTGCCGCCATTGCTTCGTGTGCCCGGCTTGCCTGCGGTCCCTTCGTGAAGAGAAGTGCCCCATGTGCCGAGCCCGGGCTGCACAAAGGCATCAGCAAGCATTAACAAGTACGTGCCTATGAATACAAGAGTAAAGCAGAACTCAAACGCCTGTGTTTGCGTGTGCGTGTCTGTGTGCGCATATGCATATACACATACCCAGACACGTACCTACTCAATTGCCTGCATGCATACACGCCTGCATGCAGGACGGCTGGACGGACGGACGCAAGCACAAGCACACAGACCTAGGCCAATGAATGGATAGGCAGCCAGACAGACACAGGAACCGAATGCAAATGCACATGTGAACATGTATTATAGGTCTTTATATATATATATATATATGTACGAATATCTGTATGTGTACATATAGGTATATACATATATATATATATATATACATATAATATCTCTGTGTTCACACGCAGCTTACATACCTACATACTCATAATTATACACATGCTTTTGGAGTAGACGCTAGAAAGTTTGAACAGCACTTTCAACAACCCTCGTTGTAAGGTGCAGGGAATCTTCGCACTCATCATCCTAAACCCATGTTCCAACTGTCGGGGGTTCCTCTAAACGTATATACATAGACAGTACTCTGTTTTCTTTGTAAATATGTTTACATACAGATAGAGGTATGTATGTATGTATGTATGCATGTATGTATGTATGTATGTACATATATATATATATATATAGATGTACATGTGTGTGTGTGTACATCAGAAGTCCTGCATTTGTAACTCTCGGCGTGCAAGCCCTTACCCCTCCTGCTGCCCGTACAGAATGCGAAGACAAAGAAAACTAACCCCCCCTCAACAAAAAAAGCAAACAAGCCGTAGAAACGAGTAATCTCGAATCTTGGCGCTTGCAGGCAACATGGTGCCCAAGTGCTGAACCTTGAAGATAGCATCTGATGAACGAATGAATACATGCTTGCACGGAGCACAGATGCATGGATGGATGGATGGATGGATGGATGGATGGATGCATGGATGGATGCATGGATGCATGTATGTACGTACGGTTTACGTACGTACGCACGAAGGCACGTATGCATGCATGTATGTATGTCTGGCTGTAGGTATATATGTATGTATGCATGCATGTATGTATGTGTGTTTTTATGTGCGCACGCACGGTTGCATGTATGTACATGCGACTGTATGTACATGCGTTCGTAAAAAAGTTCGGATGGACACATGGATGTAAGTATGCAAAGAAGCACGCCCATGCAGACTGCGACGGGGAGGTTCGTGTCCCTGTGCTTGTAGCTGCCAAGTTCAGGATCGACTTTCTCGGCATACCTGCTCCTCCCTCTCCTGCGGGAGCATTCGCAGGCAGCATCTGCAGGCAGAAACGTGGCGCCGGAGTGAGGGTGTCGGACGAAAATGGCGTGTGCTTGCTCATCCGGGTTTCATTTGTGCGTTTCAGATCTCACGGTCATCGTCTCATCAAGTCACGACAGCCCGATGTCACGCATGTCGACGAGAGGTTGCTGAAGACTACGGCGGCCCTCGTCGGCCACACAGCCTTCTTAAATCTAACGTTTATGCTCCTGCCACCAGCAGGATCACCATCTTCGACTCTTTTCAGGCTACCGTGTATGCGACACTGAGGTAGGGACTTCTTCTGCATGATTGGGACTCGCCTGTGCAATGATTTGCCAGGCCCCCAGAGGCTCCATCGTGAGTAAGAAGGAGTAACCCTAGGCTATGAGCTGACAATCAATGTCGCTAGTTCTGGTGTTCACCCGGACAGCCTGCGCAAAGCCCGGAATTCTTCGTACTTTTTGGCCACCCTCGTGTGCTGACCGCCTGTGCGACTTTGCTCCGAAAGATGCTTCATGCTGCGGTGCCAGCTGCACGCAAGGAAAGCCTTATGGCGACGTCTGCCTACCGGAGCTTTAGTCAGGGACTGAGAGCTCTTGCATTGCAGCTGGCAGAGTTCCCGGGCTCACGAGGGCGAATGCAGCAGGCTCCACATAAGTGGCGCTGGTGGTGGTACTTGTCGTGGTAGTCATCGCCGTCGTTGTCATAGTGGTAGTGGCCGTGATAGTGGAAGTGAAAGTGGCGGTTGTACTTGTAGTAGTACTGGCAGTGATAGCGGAGGTGCAGGAGGAGGAAGTAGGCAGAGCAGGAGCAGGAGAAGGCGAACGCACAGTAGAAAAGTAACGGCGACATTAGCAGCAGCGGCAGCCTTAGCAGTGGCAGTATTCAGCGCTCTTGAAACCATCAGTATGAAGTACTAGCAGTCAGGGCATGACCCGAGGCCCCCGTTCCAGATGCTGTCTCCGAAGTCTCTCCGAAAGACCATCGGGTGGCGAACTCGATGGCCCTGAGTTTGACTTGTGCGTCAGAGAGTCATAGAGCACCCCACAGAAGCATCAGCCTGATGTTGCTGGCTGCAGTAGCCAAGAGTCGCTGCTATTCCAGCGTCAGGCTGGATTGGATGAAGTCGAGGCAGCTTCCGGGCATATGTGAAGTTGCTTTTTTGGTTGACGCACTGCAACGGTGTCACATCGCCTCACCACACAGGCCAATTTGAATGGTTTATACAGAAAAAAGGGTGTAACACCAAGTGTCCGACAATAACTTGCAGTCTTGTAGGTTGTCGGAGAGTGCTTACCATGATGAAAAGCAAGTTCTGTCTTGCCTACGGTTATGACACAGCAGCTCCACGTGGATTGTTCATGTGTTTCCCAGCTCCAAGCGCATGCCTTCAAAGTCTCGATTGGCACCAACATTTCGGTTCATCTCGAGAGACGTAACCTTCAAAGCCAACCTCAAGCCGAAAGAACAGCAACCCCTGGTCAAATGGTCGCGCTTTCGGAGATCGCATGGATGCGGTTCGGCAGTCGTGCGTCGTAGGAAGCGCAAAATCTTGAACAGGCGTCCCGTTCGAAGAATGCCAAGTACAGGTAGCAGCTAGCATTTTCGAAGTATTTCTACAAGCGGGGATGAGGATGATCATGGCCCTGATTTCTGCAGGAGGCTTACCGGGCCTCCGGGCGCGCAGCAGGCCTTGCGGTGAAGTTCCTCGGCCGCAGTACCTGTGTGGCCTTCTTTGGGACTCCGGGCCTTTGGCAAGGAACCAGCCAAGCTTTAATCCGAGAGCAGCTCGACTCTCGAAGCCATGGTAGCGGAGAGACGAACTCGGCCCTTTTGAACTGGGGAGGCTGGGCCCGTGAGAAACGATGAAGGTGCAGCAACAGCAACCCTCAACTTCAAGTCTATCCTGCGCTGATAACTTGCGTTCGGCTTCTTGTGGTTGTTCGCAGCACAGGAAAGGTTGAAGTATCCTCGGGGTATTCCCCCGAAGCCTTGACGCATGACGAGCGGCCCCCGAGGTATGGCGATGTCCTTGCAGAGGAGTTCGCAGGTCATGGCCGTGGTGAGTCGGTGTCAGACAGCAAGCAGTGCATTATGTCACATGCGACATGTCCTGTAATGTAGCGACACAGCGACACAGCACGTCCGAAGGGGTGTCACGCACGACTGGCCGTTGCCGGGATGAGCAACCAGTCGGCAGGCTTCTTCGTGTACCAAGTCGCCCGCGATGACACCGTGCATGCCTCGGAGGA